CTGGAAGGGACTCGATTGCACAGCCCTGGTGGAGTTGGTGGAGAGGGAGCGTAGGAGCGGGCAGAGAGGTGGTGAGGAGCAGCCAGGCAGGAGGAGGAGTGCAGGGAGCAGGCTGGCTGATGGGGAAAACATCCCCCGGCAGCGAGGGAGCTACCTCACTGGTGGCTGGTGAGGGCATCTATTTCTGTCTGCGTGGCCACCAGGTTACTCCAGGAGCTGCTCCAGGAGCTGCTTCAGCAGCTCCCACCTTCAGCTCAGGAGGTTCCTTCCCACAATGGCACTGGAGAGAGCTGAGATCCGGGCTGGGTACAGCCCAGGTGAGCTGATCTCCAGCACACGGTGAACTGCAACCCAGAGATCAGCGTTTTAATTAGACGCAGCAGGAGGAGGGGGAAGGGGATTTAGATCAATGAGAGTCTGGGCTGAAGTAACAGACCTCGAACTGTTACGTACTTGACCTTGAGCTTGTGTAGGCTGGGGAGGAAGCAGAGGAGTTCATGTAATTGCCAATGCTGAGGGGGTATGGCTGGTGTATGGCACCACAGCAAAGCATTTAGGTATTTCAGCAGAAACTGCACTGCTGTTTTATATCTAAGCAGTGATGTCTCAAGCATCTTTGAAGGCTTTTTGAGCCTCAGAAGGTATCATGTAGTAGTTAATCTATAGACTGTGGCAAATCAGAATCACTCAAGTAAGTCTGTAAAAAGCTATCCATGCTTCAGCTCTCATACGTTGCTTCTTTGAATGCTTGGTGAATTTTATTAGTGAAAATAAAGGTGATGATTATAGTGGTACTTTGCAATTATATGGTGCCACTGCGATGTTCCAGTGCCATCTGAAATAGCAGAAGGTGAAGGTGTAATTCACAGTTGCTGTGCTCTGTGCAGATTAACACACTTCTTCAGGATTCACTTTTCCTGTAATGTGAACACAGCTACACACTTGCTTTAGACCAAGAAGGACAAAAAGCCTGCAGTCAGTCATAAGGTATCTCATGTTACCCACGTAACCCACCAGTCCTCTGGTGGATGTAAGTACAATTTTGGGGTGATAATTTTTGGACCTCTAATGTAAAGTTTTGCTCTTTGTCTTGAGAAATATCTCATCCTTTCTGCAAAATGTTTACCTGATGAGCAGATAGGGTCTATTCCACAAAGTAACTTTACACGAAGTGCACACAGGCTTCCCTGTAGCCTCTTGTACAGCAGATATATGTTCTTTGATTGATGCCTGTCCTTTCTGTCAGCCACTACCAAATACAGCTTGAGGAAGCTAGATCTGTTTCTGCTGATTTCAATCTACCTTATTAGTCTTTTCACAGCTCGCTAAAGATAACAAACAGCAACAAGACATTTCACTGCCATGGGTCACCTGCAATCGGACGTAAAAATGCTGGGGGCTGGAACTCTGGGCTGATTTATAAATATTGATTTATACAGAAACTTAGATGGATGTGAACTTAGTGTGCTAAATTAGAAGGAAATGTGAAGCGTTTGGGTGTCTATTCCTTCTTTTTCTTTTTTTAAATTGGTGATTCTTTTTTGAATTGTCTATATTTATTTATCCATACTGGTTATTGCAGTGGTTTACCACCACATTTGCATCAATATATTGCATAATCCTAAATTATCATTTTGGTTTTCTGTGTTGCTGCTCTCTGAAAAACTTTTATTGCTTTTCTTGGCTTAAGTGCAGACTGTCTCCACCCTCTTTCCTTCTGCAACTGATCAAATTCTGCAAAGACTTCTCCCCTTTGGATGGACTATGGCTTCCCACCCATGCTGTTCTCACTGAGGTTGGAAACATTATTAATTTTATTTAGTGTGGGGAAAACTTGGCTATCCCTTCAAAACCATCTTTCAAGTCCTGTAATTCAATGAAGTCCTTATTTACAATGGTAATAGCTATTTCTCCTAGTTCTGTCCAAACTCAGTTCTCTCTGGTTACAAGAGAATGAAGCACTGTTTTCCATTTTCAAGGCACAATGGTCCTATTTTATTTTTCTGTTTGGGGAAATAGCCATCACTTTTGCTGTTTGCATCTACCTCGTCAGTTGTAAAGCTCCTCCAACAATCACAGAGCTCTGCTGGGAAAGATGTCTAAAAAGGCAATGAAATCGGGAAGGAGATATAAGGTCCATCATACCATTTTTGTTATAGCAGTTAAACTATGGGTTAATCAATTCAAGTGTATTAAACCTTGAATCATAAAGCATAAAATAGGTACCTAAGTTCATCCTCAGCAGAAGTATTTTGATGTGAGACTGCTCCTAAAAAAAAATATCATTTACAGGGGTATTGCCTTCTGCTGGTTACTTCTGGTTCTTGGACAGCAGCAGCAGATATGCCAACTCCTGCTACTAATTGCATTATTAAAGATAAAGGAAATAAATAGGAATTTCCTGGAGAAAGATATTAGGAAGAAGTAGGAGATCAGATTAACTTCCTAGATGAAGGTGTCTGACTTACATAAAGGATAGTTCTGTCCAAACTCAGTTCTCTCTGGTTACAAGAGAATGAAGCACTGTTTTCCATTTTCAAGGCACAATGGTCCTATTTTATTTTTCTGTTTGGGGAAATAGCCATCACTTTTGCTGTTTGCATCTACCTCGTCAGTTGTAAAGCTCCTCCAACAATCACAGAGCTCTGCTGGGAAAGATGTCTAAAAAGGCAATGAAATCGGGAAGGAGATATAAGGTCCATCATACCATTTTTGTTATAGCAGTTAAACTATGGGTTAATCAATTCAAGTGTATTAAACCTTGAATCATAAAGCATAAAATAGGTACCTAAGTTCATCCTCAGCAGAAGTATTTTGATGTGAGACTGCTCCTAAAAAAAATATCATTTACAGGGGTATTGCCTTCTGCTGGTTACTTCTGGTTCTTGGACAGCAGCAGCAGATATGCCAACTCCTGCTACTAATTGCATTATTAAAGATAAAGGAAATAAATAGGAATTTCCTGGAGAAAGATATTAGGAAGAAGTAGGAGATCAGATTAACTTCCTAGATGAAGGTGTCTGACTTATATAAAGGATTCAAGTAATAACAGAGAGAGATGTCTTAGTCAGAGAAGACACACAGATACTAAAAAAACAGTGCCTGTGAAAGGTGACAAAATCCAATTGCTGTAGAAAGAGAAAGCAGGAGTGCTGCACAGCCATCCTCCCTGCGCACAGATAGTGAAGGTGGGGACGTGAAGTGGCAGACAAAGCGTAAGAAGCTTGTAAGGACAATGAAGTTTGACAGGTAAGAATGAAAGGAAGACACATCTAATAATAGTGTGTGTTTAACCGTTTATCTCTCATTAAGGAAATAAGCAGCTCAGAAAATGGTCATAGTTAACTTACAGCAATTAACAGTGATGTAGTACCTTCTAAGATACTGCACAGTCAGCGTTTCCAGCACACACTTAAGTCAGGACTTTGAATGAACGTTTGACGTGGGCTTGAATCTACAGCAGAAATTTCCAAATATCCTTTTCTCCTAGTGAGCCACTTGTTTGGGAGCGTTTTCGAGCAGAGCAATTCAATGCTTCATGTACTTCTGTCCTGAAACAGCTTGGTGAATTTGTTTCCAACTGCTTGGCCAAATGGCCCCAAAAATCCCTTGACTGATTTTTGCGTGCTCTACAACAGCCGATCACAGGTCGGGGCCTCAACTTGTGGGGAACTGAATTCACGTCAAGACTTGAGCACGTTGGTCTGGACTCCCACACATCTAAAAGCCAGGCACTGCAATTTTCATTACTTTCAAGTTCCCTTTCCTGCCCACCATTGGCCTTCAGATGTGTTGTGAGCAAAGTAGTAACTCCACCTGCCTTCTATATGTGCTTCAAGGTACCTGTGGAGTTGGCCCGAACTTTACTCTGGCTTAGAGCCCCAAGTGCTGGCAGCAGCCGACTGCCTTTTGGGCTCTTCACCTGCACAACCTGCGCATCTACCACCTGGAAAGGGAAGGATAAAGGGCTTTTGGATGGGAGGGAGATACAAGAAAAAATGGTGAATCTGGGGCTTCACCTGTACTGATGAAGTTGGGGAAGCACGGACCTGTCTCCCACGCCAGTGTAGGGAAGGCTCCCCCAGCACAGCTCAGAGTTTCCTGGGAATCCTAGATGACTATTTGATCATTTATTCTGACTCTCCTGTATAAAGCAGACTATAATATTTCTCATGGTCCCCTGTGGGGAGGGTTATGTCACAGCTTGGGTTAGATTTTTACAATGTGCCTGTTATCTGTCTTGAAGATTAAGGTTTTGTACACTGTCAGCAGAAAGCAAAGGGTCCTGAGGGACCTCTGATACCTGGAAAGGGACACCTGGTCAGTCCCTGAGCACCCTGGAGCCTATGCTCCATCAGGGCTGTATTCCAGAGGAGAGGAACCACAGAGGGACACCCTGCTCCCATCCCCACTGCACAGCCATCCTGCATCTGGAAATCTGGCACTGCCTTTGCTAATGCTCTCTCAGGGCAATGAAGAACGTATTTAGATGGTTTTTTTTTATATCTGTTGCTGCAGTCTTTTCCCTAGATGATCTTTCCTTTTCTATCTGGATGATCTGGCCATCTCTGCTTTTCTGCCACAAGGACTTGTGCCAAGAGAAGACCTGAATGAAGTAATTGTTCTCCTCTACACCTCAGCCATGAAGACCCGTGTCCCTTGGTGCTGCCTTAAAGATCCCTGCAGGTGACCCAACCACCACAAAAAGGGCATCCCTTTCCTGCTGCCTCTGCCCACCCAAGTGCACGCTGTTAAATCGCGGGCCCTACAGCAGGTCTGGATCATGCTCCACAGCTAAGCAGTAAGTAACTAAAGCTTCAAGTGTCCTGCTAACAGAGCGTCACCCAAGCATAATCCAGGCCCTGACTCAAATTGACAAGGACAGGTTGGCCTCTGAAATAATCTCTTTAAATAGCAGCAGCCATCTCTCTGGGAGGCACTTCCCTCCCCCAGCCAGCGCTGGAGAGCTGCTTTCGGCACGTCGCCCACTATTTCCCACCCAGCCATTGCAGGGCTGGCATTTCTCACAGGCAAGTGTGTCCCCTGCCCGCAGCCTCCCAGCTTTGCTTTGCACCAGGAATTACAATGAATTTTGCAGCCCAGTTTCTCTACTCCAGGGTGTTAAAAAACAGAAGTCCCAGGGACCGCTCCAGGGAAGATGAAGACTACGATCCTTTCTGGCAAAGGTTGGAGAATATTGCTGTCTGACTTAGAGCTAGAGTGCTCCTTTCTCCCCCCTCAGGGGTCATGGTCAGCCCTCGGGGTCTGCCCAGGGCTAGGCCTATGGACATGACAACCCCTGGACCCCTCCTGCCTCCTTACGGTGTCGTAGTTGGAGTTTTGCTTCACCTCGTTGTTTATTTAGTCGCTGTGCTGTATAGGTAATGCTTTCTTTTTCCTTTCCTTACTTTCTAAAAAAAAAAACCAAAAACAAAAAAAGGAAATTATTTGTAATTTTCCAATGTCCCCCAGGGTTCTGTGGGTATGAGTTGCATCTTGGAGTTATCCACTAGAAACAGTGGAGACCTGAATACTTTAAGCCTGTGGAGTTCAGCGTTTTTATTTCTTCATGAGTGTGGTGTTAGAAATAACCCTAGACAGGCTGATGGACTGCTGAAAATTTGTCTTGGGATAGCCTGTATCAGATCCTGTTATTACAGGTGTTCTGTGGTTGTCTTTGTTATGGTTTTCTTGAATTCCTGTTTTCAGGCTTGGATGGTGCAGATGGAATTTAGGAGATGTCTAGTGCCCTTGCGTAGCACCAGAGGGGGGTGTGCACCCGTATGGTACGGCTGTGTTTGCACAACCTCTCTCATAACCTTTCCATAGTTGTTTTCTCCCTCAATTCTGTGATCTGGACACCATTAGTGAGATCACAGGCTGGTGTTGCCAGATGTGGTGTAAACAAAGGGCATTTCTCATTTCCTGCATTCTGCTGATAATCACGATATTTTTAGACATAAGCAGTTTCAGTGGGCTCAATGCTGTTAATAAACCCTCATGGAACACCAAAGGGGAAGACAAGATCCCGGTTCTGCATGGAAAAATGGTCCGCCCAAAGTCACACACGATGTGACATGTTCTGCAGCCAACTGAGAATGTTAAAGTAGTCCTTTAATCACAGGACCACTCTTTCCTCTAGTTTGGGTTATGCTATTTGTTCTTTATTACAAGTGAATTATTGACATGTGTTAATCAACAGATAATTTCTAAACTCAGAATATGTTTAACTTAAAGTGCGAAAAAGTTAAATTACTTGAAGAGTTTTAACTGCCAAACTGTGCACTGTGTTTGATAGTGATCATTTGACATTCCCAGCTGTGAATGTCCTCTAAGAAGTGCTTAGAGGGATGGGTCTGTTCAAGAGGCACTTGGAATCTGTTGAAGCAGAGGTAAGGAAGAGGGGTGACCTTCAGAGTTGTTCTTGCTTTCAGATTACTTTTTCTCATGTTGTCTCTTTAGCAGCTGACACGTAGTTGCTGCTGCCAGCGGTAAGCAGTGACATTTCAGTAGTGTGCCTGAAGGACTGGCAACGGATTATGACCACAGATGAAGGCAGATATAGTACTAGGCTCAGGCTCTGGTAAATCTGACTTACTGGGAGTAAGGAGATATTTTATCAGAAGTGATAATGCCGCTTGGTTGTTCCCTGCATGAGCCTGAGCTTTCTTTGCACTTGTTGCTGGTGCAACATCACAAGGTTTTGCCAGACCTGTCTATGGTGAGTAGAGTTATAAACATCTGCCCAATCTCAAGGCTTGGTTATTATGTACCTATCTATGCTGGATGGTCCCTAACATGTGTGTCATACAGGCTGGTAACTAAGCCCTGATCTCTTCGTCTTTAAGACACTCTGATAAGTAGCCCTGCTACGAACTTCCTGCAGGAGTCTTAGGCAAGTCACTCGATCTGTCTGTGCCCCAGTTTCTATCAATAAAGAGGAGCTAATATCTACTGGATGTGTCTCTCTGTTTAGGGGAAGATGTTGGTGATTCCTATGTGATTTAGGAACAATCACTTTACATAGGGTTTGAGTATCTACGTGGCAGAGATGCATTTTAAATTTCCATCTTGTAATTGCCACTAGTTGGAGCGATACAGTCTCAAAGGGATGTTGCTAAGAGCTGGTGTTATGTTACACATAATAATGATAATTCAAGAAAGCAGTGTTTGAGTGCAGTATTGTCTTTAATCTGTTTTAACTGTACTGTCAAAGAGAGATCTAACGTGTTCCTTCCCCATCCCTGGGGGAGTTTACTTGTCACTCTGTAGTCCTGTGGAGGACACTCAGACACTACACAGCGCAGTGATCTAGACTTATTAGCAGCGAAGAGGACATCTGTGACAATGCTTCTTGCCATTTGTATCTCAGCAAGCCCCAATTTTTCTATCATTTCTCTTTCATAAACACCCATTTGCAGAAGCTGCTGAGAGGCTTTTAAGAATTGCTGCTAATCCAGCATTTGGATGTGTTTGGGAGGCGGAAAAAAAAGCAGGGATGGAACAGGAATATTTAGGAGCTGTTGCAAAAGAGGATTGCAAGAAATGAGAAATACATCAGAGGGGTGTGTAGGGCTTGAGCATCTGGAAGGGTCAGAGGAGACGGCGCTGGGGACATGGAATAAGAAGGATTAATGGGGCTGGGGAGGTTCTGGGTAAAAGAGGGATTTGGATGAGGGAAAGGACCCTCTCTGTCATATCCTGGGATTACCTCTTTCTCACTCCTTTGAGAGGGGATCCCAGCACTACTCACATCTTGGTCATAAGTCGAGCAGACCTACAGCAGATTGCTGCCCCTGCCTCACCCACCAGCACGTGACCCATCTGTGCTCAACACTTTGAAGAATGAAGCAGAAGTGACTTTAAAGGCGTGACTTTTTGCTGTAATAAGTATTCCAAATTTGCAGGTATAAGATCTGAGCCCATTTATCCAGAAGGCAGGTGATAACTATGTCTAAAACTGTATCTTACCAATGTCTGCTGCTCAGTGTGCTCTGGGGGGATGTCAGGGAGCCTGAAGATGATGAGAGCATATAGGTATGAGCTTAATAAACCCTTACACCCAAAAACATTAAAAAAAAAAAAAAATCCATATATGGACAACATCTGTATGCTGATGAGTTAATGACCACCTAACACCAGTTTATTGGGACGGTTTGAATTCCAAGCTGTTGCTTTTTATCATTCTAGGAGTACATTTCAGCACAAACTATCACTGCAACTTTAAACTATGTAAAGCTATTTAGCTATCTGCTTAAACAAATGATATTTTTTCCAGTTCCTTGATTATTTGTGGAATGTCTGCATACGGATCTTCTCTTTTATTTTTTGCAGTTATGCTGAGCAGCTGTTCTTGAAAAAGTAGGTTTATAAACTGTATTCTCATGTTTGCTTTTACTAATCACTTTAAAGGTAAAATGTTGTAATTTATAACCACGTAACAAAGCTTGCCGGCTGGGTATTTATTTTATGACTGGAAATAAACAGACTTTTTTTATGAAAACTTTCCTAGACAAACTCCAAAAAAGGAAAAGCGATCCATTTGAAAGGAGCAATGTTTTACAATGCTGGGGTTTGTATTTATATTGGCTCAGATTTTCATCTGGTGGACACGATCACTGGGGGACGTAGTTTGATACTGTGCATGAGAAGTCACGGGCTGCCTTTTTGTGAGCACTTGCATGCTTTGCTGCCTGCGTTGACTGTTCCTGCAATAGAAATTCATAGTGAGATGATCTAGGCCAAGCACATGAACTGTGTTTGAGGAGAGAAATGCGTCTGACCCAACAGGGTTATTAGCTGCATCTTTGAGATGGATGGACCAGCCTAAACCCACCGTTTACCTTGGGAGTCTGAGAGCCCTCAGTGGGTGCGTGGCACACCCAGGGCAGTTCAATAGGGAAAAATGTCATTCACAAGTGTAAATGGAAAATATGTACATAGGAAGAGAATAAAAAAATAATCTGAAATATATAGAATACATAATTATACAATAGCATGATGATATTCCTTTGGTAAAGAGACTGGTGACCTTTCAGATGCAAATGGATGATAGTTTCCATATTAAGTATTGGGATGGTAATGTTTCAGATGTGCTTTAAACCTATCTCAAGCTTGAAAAGCCTACACATATTTTACGGCTGTTTTACTTCTGTTCTTACTTTCCAATGGTCATAAGGTGTTGTCTCCATCAGGGTCCTGAGAAGATATTCACTGTTCATGACAGCAGTGCTGTAGATCAAGGACTGAGGGTCTCCTTTGTTCTGACAAAAAAAAAAAAAAAGAAACTAAAGTCTAGGGCCAAAAATCAATATCCCATTTTGGTCTTTCTATTTGCAGATATAAATATTTGACAGCACTAGTGTGGTGAGGAATTACCCTCTAGTTTGTACTTCCTAGCAGAATCCTGGTTCATCAATGAACTATTTGTGGTCATCTTTGTACGGGATTTTTTCTGGACTTTTTGTAGTTGATTGTAAGAGATGCAAGGAAAAAGTATGAACATAATTATGTCTTATCTCAAATGCCAGGCAGTAAAAAAAAAAATGGCCTAGACATTCACAAATTTTTGATCTACCTGTATATTTTATCCTACATACAACCTTTTTACCCATTGCCAGTGTAGGAAATAACAAGCATTGCTAATGCTTGCTAAATATTTTAGATAATATGTTTAGAGATAAGATGTATGTGTTCTTCTGGTTTTGGAGTGGTTACGGGCTACAGTGATATGAACATTTTCTTTTTCTTTTTTTTTTCGGGCAGTGGGGTAGGTAGGGAACGAACTCTTAACAGTGAGTGGCCTCCTAGGTGATGATAGCTGATGTGAATGATGATAACCAGGGGCTGTGCTGTAACAAGCTCACGGGTGGACAGTCCAATCTGATTCTCATCTTTGCATTTAACTCACTAATGTGCATGAGAACTAACAGTGGAAGCTTAACATCTTTATGAAGTGTTCCAACCCTCTACCCCCAAAGGAGCAGAAATGCAGAGAAGTACGGCATACAGCTACGTGATAAGCTATTTGATTTGAAGGCAGAATACCTGCTGTTTGGGTGTATCAGCTTTAAGATGTACAGTATTGGGAAAATATTTTAAATGACAAGTTTCAACATAAACAAGTTACAAACATGTAAATACATTATTTATCTTAGAAAATTAGTGTTGATCTCACTAATTTTGGAGAGAGAAGACCTTGCTACAAAAATCATCCTTTTTTGTCTCCTGTGGGGATATACAGAATGACTAGTGCTACTGGTATATTACACGATTCAAATAGCAAAACCTTTTATGTTGCCCATATTGTTATGTGAAGTCCTCAGTGGAACAATTGGAAGTGTAATAGGAAGCAGAGCTACTGGCACAGATTATTGGGACCACAAAGAAAATGGATGACACTGCCAAAAGTGGGACAATTGCTCAAAAAGCAGCTGTTTCTAAATATTTTAAAATTCTTTTGGGAAATGATTACAATGCATATTACAGTGCTGATCACTGCTGTAAAACTAGGGCAACATTTGCTTTAGCCAGTCCTGTTGATGAATAACTGCATAACTTAAATCCAAATTATTTTGAGAAAATGGTAAATATTTCTTTGTTGGAGATGATGTTGATATCTCTGACATAATTTTACACATATTTTTTAGAAAACCCCTTCTTCCAAGTAGATTAATATTGAGTCCTTTGTGTAGAGGAGATTATACCATCTGTGTAATCAGAGCCACAGACCAGGGGTAGTAACAGCTCTTTTCAAAATCACTGCTCTTCTGCTTAATGCTCCTTTTCCCCCACGTTACTCTCCAAATTCCAAGAATTCCTAGAAGTTTTGTTTTTATTTGTTAGTAGGGCTGCAAAATCCTACACTGGGGTATATTATCCCTTGTGAACTTCTGAACACTGGGGACCATAGAGTAAGGCAGTTCAATGTAGGAAAACTGGCAAATTTTTGTAGCAGCGCTGTCTCTCCAAAGTCCCTTGGGGAAGGAGGTTTGTGTGGCATCACGCTGTCATCTTTCTTATCTACAAGTGTTTTTATCTATGAAGTGTTAACCTGCAGATCAGGAGACCTAGTTCTTCAGCTCTGTGGTAGGATATAATTGTTATCTCTTATCAAAGTCATTTGCTTCCCGTCAGGAGGCAGTTGATGACTGTCAGGAGTATGCTCTGCAAGTATGCAACAGCAGAGAAGCACACCTCTTGGGTAGAACATCATGACGTTTGTTACTGCTATTAACAGTACTAGGGAATGCTCTGCAGCAGATATTTGCCTTTTTTTTGAAAAACATGGAGTTCTATACAGAAAATACAATTCCAGTTATTCCAAAATCTCTGCAGGCCCTGAACTGGGATCAATCCTCATTACAAAGGAAGGTCTGGCTGCTGAGACAGAGTGGATTATATCTTCCTTATCTTCTTGGGTATGGCAGCTTCTCACTTTGTCCACATGCCAGGTTATCTGTGGCTTTTCTAAAAGTTCACTGGTTAGAGTAGCTTTCAGCCCACCTACAAGATAAGGAAATATGACAGTAATAATTCAGTCTGCCTGTTTGAGCCTTGCAAAAACCAACCAAGATGTGCATCCTTCTTAAATGCTAAATGTCCAGCCTTTAGTAATCCAAGCTTCCCTAACAAGCTTCTTTTATTTGTTTTTAGGGACGACAATAAAACAAAGAAACAAGATGCCCCAGCACTTTGTGATCTTCACTGTTGCAAGGATGGGCCCATGAGAAATGGCCTTATTGGGCAGAAGTCACCTTCTATCAATCCCGAGAGACTGAAAGATTTTGGTGAGGAGGATTACCTGAACGGGGATGTGAAGACCTGGGAAATGAAGATAGTGAGCCGAAATGAGGAGTTACTTAGGGATGCCCTTTCCCGCATCCCTCAGTCAAGCAGTAGGACCGGCCTGTCAAGCTGTAACAAGCTGATTCGGTTTGAAGATATTAGCGCAGCAGCCTTCAAAATCCAGTGCGGTGTTCAGAAAACCCCCTGCATGGTAGGAAGTTTCTATGGCTTTGCATTCCCTCAGTATTTCTTTTATTTTCTTCATAGAAGTTGGTCAGAAATGAATGAAGAGTATGTGTGAGTTGCAGCAGGTAGATCTGTGTAAGATGACTCGTGTTCATATTAGGTGTTGTTAACTGTCAATAAGCATTTTCTTCTTACCTGTTTACACTAACCTAAATCCTCAAAGATTGCAGTGACTTGTAAACAAAGGATAAACCACATTAGGTACAGAGTTAATGCACTGTGGTATTATGCTCCCGGTGAAAAACTCTTGCTACAATGAACTTGATTTGGAGCCAGCAGACTATCAGCCTGTGGGTGAGCGGCCTTGTGGGAGCTTCTGGTTTGGAACCAGCCCCTTTGTATTTGGAGAATCTGAAGGTACAGATTTTCATTCCTGGCCTGGGCAACCTGGGTATGTTCTGTAGCCAGGTGGTTCTGCCACATGCATCTTTGTCAACAAAACAAGGACATTAAGATATCTGCACACAAACATACACACCTGTTGACCAGCTTGGGCCTGGAAATGACTGAGACACTTGTGAGACATACAAGCATTTGCTAAAGCATAAGAGCAGTACAGTGACCAGCTATTTAACTCATAATGTGTTTCTACTGTTGGGAGCTCTTCATGAAGGCTCTTGTAGGCACTCTGTGGCCAATCTCCTCTTTTTCCTGAAGTGGGTGAAAAGACCATCTTTGCCAAATGGCAATTCACAGCAGCAGCCCAAAATCACTCTTTTGATTAATCCCTCCCTGCTGCTGAGCTGGGGCACCCTATTCATCCTTGTTGACTGTGGGCTGTCTTTCTGGCCTGCACAGGGAAAGGACCTTGGTGTCTGAGCCACTGCTTGGGGTGAACAGTCCCTGGAGCAAAGTGGTTCCCCAGGTTCCCAGAGCTCAGAGATGATCCAGAGACATAACTACTTTTGGTGGGTTTTGCTAGATTAGAATTCCCAAAATAAGGATAGTTGTGGTTTTTGTAGCATACTACTGAAGAAGTGTGTCCCGGGACAAAGAGCATGGTGCAAGACTGTTTGGTGCTGTAAGGTGGCACGAAAATCTTGCAGAACGGCGTTAGCCAGAGCGCAGGGAGTCAAACTGGGTGCATTTTGTGTTCATACAATATGCCTGTTCAGAGTGACTCAGGAGCAAACCATCCCTCCAGCTGTTCCTGGATTTCCTTTCAGAGTGGAAAAGCTGGCTGGCTCAGGAAGGCAGGGGGGAGAGAGCAAACACACGGGTGGTCGGGGGGCCAGGGCCTGGGCCAGCGGAGGGAAAGGTACCAAACTCTGCATATTGCATCGTTTGTCACCAAAACTCTCAGGCTGTCATGCTGGAGAGCACAGCCAGCGCTCTAGACAAGTATCAACCTTCTGCTTTTGTGGAGAGACTGTCCCAGGACGAGAAGATTGGCGTTTATATTGCAGGTAGTGAGCACTGCGCTTCTCTGTAATTGACAGCTCTGGTCATATTTGTTAGATGAGGTTAATCTTACTGAGCAAAGGTAGGTCTATGGGCAGGGAGAGGGAGAGTGTCAGGGCTTGATTTGGGAAGCAGAACTAGCCAGCTCTGTGCCCTTTGGTAGCCTGGATCATCCCTTCCCTGCAGCTCATGGGGTCAAGCACTTCTGCCCAACTAGCAAAGTCTCTCTCAGTCCCATCCCCTGAGGCATGTCCTTGCTCTCAACACATCTGAATGCAGGGAAAGGTGAGACTGCACCACCGAGTCCGTCTTCTGCTCCTGCAGGCACCCCTGTAACACAAAACTTTTTGTAAACTGATCGTGCTCCTGCTCACAAGCAGCTCAGCTCCCTTTGGCTGGTTCCCACCACTTGTTCTCGGTCAGCTCTGCCCCTCAACTTAAATAGTTCTTTTCTCTTGGGTGTCCCTGCCAGATTTATGCAATATGGTTGTATCCCCTTTCTGCATTTACTGTGCCAAGCTAAACAGGCTAACATGCTTTAGTCTCTTTTTATGAACTATGCTTTTGGGATGATCAGAATAGTGGAAAACCTATATCCCCACTGGTTTTAGTGTGAAAATAGCCTGTGACTATTGCTATTCAAAGAAATGTTCCCACAGAAGTCATTCGTGTATGTTTCATGCACTAATTCAACAGGAAAGTATTGAAAGCACAGAGTGGTGTCAAGGAAAAAACCCACAGATAACCTTTATTTTAACTGATTGCTGAGAGGTAAGAGCCCCTTTCAGGGATGTTTGTTTGGATTAAAACAGTGAGCATAACTATAACCCATTCAGTTAATTGAATGGAGAAATGCTTTTCAGGGTGATTCCTTATCTGTAGGTTAAAACCATGGATGGAGCATCCTGGATCCTTACACAGGAGTTTGCCTGGAGCTGAGATAGGGCATCATGAATGATTGTAATAGACATTATAGAGGTAGTGAGTATAGGAAAACAAGGAGTTAGCATTAAGTTGGGCACTTGGTTTTATGCAGGAACTTTAAGGGGTGTTTTGTGCTGGCTGTGTGGATGCCAAGTGGAGGCTGTGCTGTGCGTTGTACTTAGACACAGTATCTGTAGTCCTTAGATAAGATCACGGTGACAAAAGGGAAAACTTACAGCTGGTTCAATGAGTCTTATGAGGTTACGCATCAGGTCAGCACAGCTGAAAATAGCACTGACACCTACTTTGTTAGAAGTAGTTGCTATATTTAGGCTACAGCAAAAAAAGCCTCAGTTAAAGGAAACAGAAAAGGGTACCCAAAAGAGTTTAAATATTATCAAAATTAAAGAAAAATAATAATCTGAAGTACACCACCTTTGTGGTAAAACGTGACTTAATAACTTAATAAATGTAGGAGATTTAGCAACTTTATAAAATTACAGGATTTGTCTCCTTAAATCCTTTTTCTCATTGTTCACTCTAGAATCCAAGATTCTCTACAAAACCAAAAATGATAAAATTAGTATGGTATATGAAGACTCAGTAAAGCAGTATTTCTTGTGTAGTGTTCTTGTTCTGTTTTGCGTAGGCAAAATCCACAGATTAGGCTGTTTAGGATATAAACTATTATCCTATTAGTGTACTAAGCACTTTCCATTGTTTCAATTCTGCAGCTGGATTTGCAAACGAGCAGGCAGTGGTAGCTCCTATTGCAGGATTTTCAGAAGCAAAATAGAGAATCTGGCCCCACCTATGGGTGAGGAATTTAACATATGCTTGTAAATCCACTAAAAAGCACTGAAACATTCGACTGAAATATTTAGTTTAATTGTATACCTTTAAGCAAGTATTTGTTTCAGATATATTCAGTTTATATAAATGAACTGGGAAAGTCCTGCAGTCTGAAAAATATGTCGATACATCTTATTAGGTAAACTATACACCATGTGTGTGACACTGCCAGAGACTTTCTGAGATAAATATTTAAAATATATTGTCATGCTGTCTTTTAATATAGCTCTCTTTGTGATTTATGATAAATGAGGGCTTGTTCCCCTAAATCCCCAGGTCGTCATTTGCTTTGGCAGGCAATGGAAGGAACAGAGCCAATTATGAAATAGAGACACGGTAAGCCTTGGGAGCTGGAACCCAAACACTTATTGCAGCTCTGTTTCATAAGTTATCTTGCTTAAAACTCATGTTTTAGATAATAAAGTAATAGGAAATTAATATGACAATGCATGCAGTGTCTTACTATAAAAAAAGGTTTGCCATTAAAAAAAATATATTAAAAAGTCATGCACTTGGACCCTGCATCACATGTACTATGCTTGCTAATTCCTCTCAGCTCAGGGATCCTTTCTGTTCCAAACATTGAGCATTTTCAAACAGCTGCTGCTTAAACGTGCAATCCTGGGAAAGATTTTTTACTATTTCTATCATTCTTCAAATAAGAAGTATCTTTACTAATGTTGTGCTGGCCTTAGGATGCAAAATGAACAGGATTCAGTGGTGAATCAGTGGCAGAAACCATAGTCGTAATGGGACTCGAGGAGGAATTTTCTAACTACTTTTGTATCTATTAGGCGATGACCTTATTTTCTGGGTATTCAATATCCACTTCTGGTAAGTGCTAAAATATCAGACCACAGGGTGGTTTTTGAAATAATTGCAAATGCTTATTTTAATATCTGTATTTGAACAGTAAGACCAAAATCAGTGCTATTTTCAGAATTCCTAGTGGTTCGGGGTAAATATTTCAGTGCTGCAAGTTTGAAAACTACTTCCTTAAACTAGAATAATCTGGTAGGTAACAACACAGTCATGTATTTCTAAAGAAACAGATTATGAAATTTACTTTTTGGAGCTCATACACAGCAGTTGAATGCATGCCTCATCTGGGAGTTGAATGGATGTGGAGGATTTTTCTTAATTTTAGATACATCCCCATAATAATATTTGTATGCTCCAGTATTCTAGACTATCCAAGCAGTATGGAATGGACATCTACCTAAAGAAAGAGTTTCTCCAGTACACGGGATCTGTGAAGGAACGAGGGGTACTTTACCTTCTGACATCATTGCCTCAGGTATAAAAAAATGTCAACGTTCAATAAGGAATAGATTAGTTCTGCTTCTCAAAAATGGAGCAGAATTAAAGATAATTTTACGCATAATGTCCACGGAATCGCTGTGTTTCTTGCTTTTTGAACCATTGTGCTGAACAACATAGATAGGTCTACAAATATCTGCATATCAGGTCAGCACAGCTGAAAATAGCACTGACACCTACTTTGTTAGAAGTAGTTGCTATATTTAGGCTACAGCAAAAAAAGCCTCAGTTAAAGGAAACAGAAAAGGGTACCCAAAAGAGTTTAAATATTATCAAAATTAAAGAAAAATAATAATCTGAAGTACACCACCTTTGTGGTAAAACGTGACTTAATAACTTAATAAATGTAGGAGATTTAGCAACTTTATAAAATTACAGGATTTGTCTCCTTAAATCCTTTTTCTCATTGTTCACTCTAGAATCCAAGATTCTCTACAAAACCAAAAATGATAAAATTAGTATGGTATATGAAGACTCAGTAAAGCAGTATTTCTTGTGTAGTGTTCTTGTTCTGTTTTGCGTAGGCAAAATCCACAGATTAGGCTGTTTAGGATATAAACTATTATCCTATTAGTGTACTAAGCACTTTCCATTGTTTCAATTCTGCAGCTGGATTTGCAAACGAGCAGGCAGTGGTAGCTCCTATTGCAGGATTTTCAGAAGCAAAATAGAGAATCTGGCCCCACCTATGGGTGAGGAATTTAACATATGCTTGTAAATCCACTAAAAAGCACTGAAACATTCGACTGAAATATTTAGTTTAATTGTATACCTTTAAGCAAGTATTTGTTTCAGATATATTCAGTTTATATAAATTAACTGGGAAAGTCCTGCAGTCTGAAAAATATGTCGATACATCTTATTAGGTAAACTATACACCATGTGTGTGACACTGCCAGAGACTTTCTGAGATAAATATTTAAAATATATTGTCATGCTGTCTTTTAATATAGCTCTCTTTGTGATTTATGATAAATGAGGGCTTGTTCCCCTAAATCCCCAGGTCGTCATTTGCTTTGGCAGGCAATGGAAGGAACAGAGCCAATTATGAAATAGAGACACGGTAAGCCTTGGGAGCTGGAACCCAAACACTTATTGCAGCTCTGTTTCATAAGTTATCTTGCTTAAAACTCATGTTTTAGATAATAAAGTAATAGGAAATTAATATGACAATGCATGCAGTGTCTTACTATAAAAAAAGGTTTGCCATTAAAAAAAATATATTAAAAAGTCATGCACTTGGACCCTGCATCACATGTACTATGCTTGCTAATTCCTCTCAGCTCAGGGATCCTTTCTGTTCCAAACATTGAGCATTTTCAAACAGCTGCTGCTTAAACGTGCAATCCTGGGAAAGATTTTTTACTATTTCTATCATTCTTCAAATAAGAAGTATCTTTACTAATGTTGTGCTGGCCTTAGGATGCAAAATGAACAGGATTCAGTGGTGAATCAGTGGCAGAAACCATAGTCGTAATGGGACTCGAGGAGGAATTTTCTAACTACTTTTGTATCTATTAGGCGATGACCTTATTTTCTGGGTATTCAATATCCACTTCTGGTAAGTGCTAAAATATCAGACCACAGGGTGGTTTTTGAAATAATTGCAAATGCTTATTTTAATATCTGTATTTGAACAGTAAGACCAAAATCAGTGCTATTTTCAGAATTCCTAGTGGTTCGGGGTAAATATTTCAGTGCTGCAAGTTTGAAAACTACTTCCTTAAACTAGAATAATCTGGTAGGTAACAACACAGTCATGTATTTCTAAAGAAACAGATTATGAAATTTACTTTTTGGAGCTCATACACAGCAGTTGAATGCATGCCTCATCTGGGAGTTGAATGGATGTGGAGGATTTTTCTTAATTTTAGATACATCCCCATAATAATATTTGTATGCTCCAGTATTCTAGACTATCCAAGCAGTATGGAATGGACATCTACCTAAAGAAAGAGTTTCTCCAGTACACGGGATCTGTGAAGGAACGAGGTGTACTTTACCTTCTGACATCATTGCCTCAGGTATAAAAAAATGTCAACGTTCAATAAGGAATAGATTAGTTCTGCTTCTCAAAAATGGAGCAGAATTAAAGATAATTTTACGCATAATGTCCACGGAATCGCTGTGTTTCTTGCCTTTTGAACCATTGTGCTGAACAACATGGATAGGTCTGCAAATATCTGCATGTAAAATACTTTACCACTTTATTTATATTTGCCTTTCTGCTGGTGAAATGCTTAGAAATATTTGAAAGAGAAGCTTGCAAAATGTAAGCATCAGCGTTTTCCTGTGGCATTTAGATGAAAGTGGTTTTATGCAAACTGTGGTTCTGACATGTCGAAACCACCAAATTTGAAGTGATGATGAAACTGAGTTACAATGGGTGATGAGAAGGATCTACATCACCAACTGATTTTGTAATTAATTTCAGTATCATTACATGAATAGCTTGTTTATCGTTTGTCGTGGGAGGTTATTGAGTCTCTGCAGCAATAGTAATTATAATTGGCATGACAGAGCAGCCCAGAAACAATGGTTAATCCTGCACTTTTGTAACAATATGAATAAATCTTTCTGTTAAAGGGAAACCTAAAATGAAAAAAATTTGCACAGGCAGAGGAGAGGGACCAGATATTGGCTCTGAGGGGCCAGATGTCATATCTTCTGGGGTCAGCTGGAGTTTTGCAGCTAATTCCAATGGAAGAAGAAATGAACCCAGAGGAATGCAGGAACAGAGATTGATCTTGTGCTGTCTTAGCTCCGTGTGTATGACCTGAGACCACACCAGACATGCATATACTGTATCCTAATATGACCAGCTAGTAGAGGAAAAGAAGGAAGTCAGATTGATCCAGAATCATACGGGACAACTTTGTGACACTGTATAACGTGCAATTAACCCTGTTTTTTAGGATCAGCAAAGAAAAGGGGTGATCGTGGCTTCGGACAGTAACTTTTCCATGGCTGTTGCTTACCACGCCTCAGAGCTCCGTATCCCAGTGTTTGTCATCATGTCAACCAGCACGTCCCCGGCCAGAGTGAGAATGTGCCGCGAGTACGGGGCCATGGTCATATCCTACGGCACTACGGCTAAGGATTCCCAGACCCACGCAAGAAGGCTGGCACAGGAGAACGGATACCTCTACCTCGAAGAGTGAGTGGAAAGTCAGGCTGATTAGAAAGATTAAATTAGATACCTGCGCAGCTCTGCAAGAACAATTAGTTTTACTAAAATTTGATCACAGATCGTCAAAATGTTCCCTTTCCCAGGGCATGGACAGTTACGTATTCCCAGGCACAAATCATGAGTCTTTCTATAGTGGTTGGGGATGGAAACCAAAACAAAACACACTTCCTCCAAATTAAGCAAACTTCATGATTAGGAATTACATGGGCTAGTATGATAATGGGATACATGTTAACTATCAACCTTGTCAGAAAGCCTTACGGCTAGCATTCAGTTTTGGTCTCTCTGTTTGGAGTAAGGTGGGTCAAAGCTAATCTTTAATGCAAAGGCTTCAGTGGCATAGTGTAGAGCAAGAGGAGGTTAGTGCTGTAAAATTTTTGCATGTCTAGTGTGACTGAAAAAATTGTGATTCTGCCTTGAAAAATGATAATTGAGAGGCTACTTCACATATATATTTAAAGCAGCTAAGGATAAGTATAAATTTGTTTGAGTTATTTGAGGTCATTGAACAAGCTGATATTCGATATTCTTCAGGTTCATGAACATCAGCTGATCTCCTGCCCTTTAGAATAGAACTTCTGAAATTCATTTTATTTCAGTTTAATTCTATCTTGCATGAAATGCCTGTCAATTTGGTCTCTGGATCTCCTTAACCAGCATTTCATTCTTTCCTTCCTGAAGTAGATATGACGTGACTGTCTTTGGTTTTACCTGCATGGGTAATGTCCTGTAGTCGGGTGTGTCAATGTCAGTTCTTCCCATTTCTTGAGTGCAATTAAAACACTGTGTTATGAAAATGATCACGCAAGAGTTCAATTCGAGGAAGAAAACTTTTTATCCAACTGCAGCTTCCTGTGAAATTCCAGGAAGGAAATGCGATTTTTCGAGTTGGAATTCAGTCATGAAATTTACGAAATAGCTGCTTAGGTAAGATGGGATTTTTAATAACTATAGATGTCCAGGACCTCATTACAAATGCAATGTGAAGGTTGCCAGTAAGTAACACAATACTTCTGGGATTATGTGAGAAAGATTGATTTGTGAATCAGAGAGGTAAGAGTGCTGCAGATTGATTTACACGCCTGCCTGCCTGCCTTCCTTGAGAGTCCATTTTTCCCTTGTGTAACTCCATATCAAAGTACTGATCAGACCCGAACCTCGTTCATTTATGATCTGGTTGGTCTGTTACTCTAGGAAGGACAGCCGATAGCTTTCTATCCCTTTGTTTGGAGAACAGGGGAAGGAGCCCGCTGGCTGCCGTGCCAAAATGCCACTGGGAAGCTGAAGCCTGACAACCCATCTTTGATTACTGATGTACAGCACGTTTCAGAATGGACAAATTTCCAGCTCTGACTCCAAGATGCTTATTTAAATCTGCAGTCTTGCAGGCGTTCTCTGCTCCTGTGCTGAGCCTCATGTCTAACCGTAATAAAAGCATAGCTTCCTCATGCCCAAACGTCCTGGGTCAAGTAAATCAAGTGAAGTCATTGCGTCTATAATTCTGTTTGCTTAGCTGTTTGCCAGAAAAAGCAGAGCAAACAGGCCTACAGAGTTCTCATATTTTTTGTTCATATATCATTCTACATTTACATCATTGCTAACTTTTAAATAAAAAGCGAAACAGCTTTTAGAAATAGATCCAGGTTGTCCATGTGACTGTTCAGCAGACTTTTCTTCAGTCTTTTGATTCTGTTTGTCCCTATTCTTCTCATTATATTACCTTTGCCTGAAAGCGTTTTACCAGTGAGTATTTTGGCACAACTAAATGCTTCTCTTACCCTTCCAGAGTCTTCCAGAGTAATGTGAAGGTATCAGATATTGGCCCTGCGTTGTGGAAAGACTTAACTCTGTAGCAATCTGTTTGGTATTTGTGAGGTTCAACGCAGTGCTTCAATGTCATGAAAATTCCCATTTATCACAAACACTAAATTCCACTGTAAAATATGGAGAAGGAGATCTCCTTTCGAGACTGCTTTTAGTTTGGACCGCAACATTTAAAATTTATGAAACTGAAGGATGTGGTGGCGATGGAATCATGACTTTTGTCTTGCCAGCTCTGTAAACAGCTGATGCTGGTAACAACAGAGGTACCTGCTCTTCAGCCTGAAGGCTATTTGAGAGGTTTGTCAATGGCACAAGTTTTCTCACAGTAGGTAACAGCACACGATGGCCTGTCTGAGGGCAGTGTCCTGTTGTGTCACCTCCTCCCCTCATTGTGCTGGTGATTTACTCTCGCATACATCTTTTTTGGCTGAACAATGTCTTTAAAGTAGTAGATTGAACTGCTATTGCATTGACAACTGTGAGCCCTGCTGAGCTGTGCCCTTCCTTCCCGCAGGGAGGACAGTGCTGTCTACCTGTCGGGGCTGGGAACCGTGGGGCTGGAGGTCTACGAGCAGGTGCCAAAGCTGGACGCGGTGATTTTCCCTGCAGGAGGCCACTGTGGCTTGCTGGCAGGGTCGGCTGCTGCACTCAAGCATCTCAACCCACACATTTCTGTAATTGTAAGTTTCCTTTCACCTATGAAGTGCTGCATCTTGGCAGCTTACACCACAGGTATTTTCAAAAGGCACTGGTACCTAGTGATAGCACTGCACTGGCATCTAATGATACATTGGCATAGACTGCCTATGCTGGGGATGGGGACTATCTGATCCTGTGGGCTTCACCGAGGAGAAGAGCCCCTGAGAGCCTGGGAAGTCTCCTGTCCCTAGGCTGCCTGGCTGAATTTAAGAAAAAAATGTGGAAATGCTCTTCCAAAGTAAATGAAATCCAGTTGTGTGTTTTGAAATAATTTCTTACAGATAAAGTTTGGCCCTAAATAAGCCACAGGATAAGGTCAGTGATAGCACAGTTATTACACGCTTTAAAATATTCTTTTTATTTGAAGAGGAAACTTTGTGTAGCTTTTTTGGTGTCCACTTTGGTGGTGACTCCTGTTATAACTGGAACAATAAAAAAGTGGCAACGCTTCTCTTCCCCAGGGCGTTGAATCTGAAAGTTTCCCTGTATTGCAACAGTCCTTAAAGGCTGGCCACCCAATTGAAGACCAGGCTTGCAGCAATCATCACTTCTATGGAGGTAAGAAAAGACATTATTCTTTTGAAGGTAAAATAAAGGTTGTAACTGATTTCTCCAACCATATGATTTTCTCACTAATTATATTCAAACATATTTTAAAGGAAATTTCTGAAGAGTTAGCAATTAATTCAAACCGTAAGAACAACTTCTGCCACGTTTTCCCTACCACCTCCCTGGGGTACAATACTGTTTCCAGTGCACTTGAAATGTTCAGGTGAATACTTGGAAATACGAGACTATTTATCAGACCACTGTGCTCACAAGCAACATCTTAACCAGTGAAGTCAGTGGGAGAATTCCTGTGTAAAAGAGTAATTTGTGAAAAGGCAGGAAAATGCAGTGCTTAAATATTTAGACTGTTCTGGGAACAACAGTGTTTATAAATAATACAGTTGTTTCCACATCATTTGCTCAAAAAACCTCAGCTGTTAAGCAATTTAAGAATATCCTGTTTACCTGTTGTTCAGATCTCTGGAAGCTTTGGGTTAAATGGGAGCTTTATAAACAAACAACTTTTAAACTCTCTGGGTAAGATCTGCCTGTCTCTGCACTCCTTTGGTAGCTGTCCTGTTGTAAATAACAAATCCAGTGCCACGCTTGCTGCTTCTCTCATTCAAGCTTCACTGAACAGCAAAAAGCACTGGGCTGCAGGGTTGCTATTCCAGTGCATCTATGCCAGTGAAGAATCATAATTTTCTTAAAGGGATCCAAAATGGCAAAATCTTCTTTGTCTCTTGTTACCAAGCACATTTTTGTTATATAAAAAAAAAATCAAGCAACTTAAGATCATATAACAGCAGTGTGTTGCACTCATTAAGGGCACAAAACAGTCAGGACTCTGAAAAATATTGAACTTGTCTAAAGCAGCCAGCTTCGTATTTTTGTCTTTTGAAATCTGCAGATGTGAGCGGACTTTGCTTTGGCAGCAACTCTTTGCAGCTGACTGGGAAACTTGTGGATAAAGTTGTTGCTGTGAGGTAGGTGAAGAAAAACAGGGGAATGAATAATAACTGGGTGAACATTGTATATGAAAAATGTGCTTCACCACCAGGGTATGGAGGTTCCTCTTGTACAGTGGAGAGAAGGTTGACAGGAGCTGCCATCATGCACACCCTGTCAGAGGATGGTGGTGGTGGTGGGGTGCTGTTCCTTCCAAGAGAGGCACTGAAGATGCTGAACCCAATCCCACGTATCACAGAATCATAGAATATCTCAAGTTGGAAAACACCCATAAAGGATTATGGAGTCCAACTCCTTGCTCCACACAGGACTACCTAAAACTAAATCATATGACTAAGAGTGTCACCCAGATTGACCCCTTTGGCCAGAACTTCCTCTGTGGCTCATACCTGGTCATGCTGTGGGTGTGAAACTTGTCCTTGTTGTCCTCTACAACACTTGAAGGCAGCCTTTGACAAAACTCTTCTAAATCTTTGCAGAAAGCACAAGTTGGCAGAATATACTTACCACTAGGATTTAGGTGGCACAATAGTTCTAGCAATAGTTCTAGATTGTCTTCTGCTTTTGGTAACTAGTCTTGTTTTATTTTGATGTCACTCTTTTGCCTTCAGAGAGGAGGACATCCTCGTTTCCATGCTGAGATTGCTGGAATATGAGCGAGCCACAGTCGATGCAGAAGGGGCCATTGGACTCGCAGCGTTGGTTGCGGGGAAGCTGCCCGAGTTGAAGGGTAAAAGGTAGGGCAGCTGTTGCAAACAGGGAACTGTGGAAAAAGTATGGGGGTGAGTGCCTTGGTCCCAGGAGATGGGGAGAAGCTACTGTTTTATGAGTGACGAGGCAGTTCCTGCCCCTGAACTGGCAATGGGCTTTTATCTGTGGCACCTACTTCAGGCTGAAGAGATCATCTACAGGTCAAAAGACCATGTAGAACAAGACAAATGCCAGCTTGGAAACCTGACAAATCTTGTCGTTCTCCTCTATTCTCAAATGGTTGGCAGAAAGGCAGTTACACACAGCTCCAGGAGGCACGGTCACATCTGCCAGGAGAGCGTCCTGCTCTTGTCAGCCTGTTGCCTTCTCTCACTCCACTTGTGGAAATCAGCCCTGTCTGTGGTGGGACAGGAGCTAGGTTGTCTTCTGCAGTCGCTCAGTGACACCTGCCTCCCAACCCCAAGAACTTCTGCTCAGACTCAATGGCATTACCCTTGTGCTTAGCGTTAAACCTGTGGGTAAGTGCCATCTTGCATCTGGGCTTGAGTACTCAGTACTTAAGCGGATTGAGCCTTGGCTCAGGACACAGTCCAGAATGTATTTAAACATACATGCACTTAAGACAAAATAAGTTTCCCAATGCATAGTATTGTATGCTAAAATACCGCTGAGGTGTTCTTCAGAAGAGGCTGACAGAGGACATACAGAGCAGCAACAGGTTTCAATTCAGTATCGCTAAAATAAAAGGGAAAATGGAAAGGTTTGGGTTTAAGAAGGTCAGGTTTGACTCTGCAGAGAGAGATTATCACGGGTTAACCATGTGGCTCTTCACTTGCTCTTCAGACATTTCTGCACTCATTTTGCAGGGTTGAGATCGATTTAATTAATGGTTATAGAAAGCCTTGAACATACATGTTATCTAACCATTAAGAGGCTGAGACTCAGAACTTCCAGAGGAAAATGATGTCACATTTTTTAAATTTGAAACAGGCCTAGAATTTTCCAGCTAATTATCTCTAACCAAACGAAAATCTCCAGGAAATGCAAAATGAAAACAAAGTTTCAGACCAACAAATGCAGCCAGCCTCTAGGCTCCTGCTGCCTGCCCACGATTGATGCTGAGAACCAGGATCCCCCCTGACACGAAACACATATTTATTGGAGGGCAGTCCTCGCAGATCTTAAGCTGATATTGAATACAGTGTCTGTGATTTATGGTCCCTTTGCAGAGACAAGTACTAATCAAAAATCCTGTTTTTCTCTCTGTTTTCAGAGTGGCAATTGTTATATGCAGTGGGAACTTGGAGTTACATTTGCTGCAGCAGTGCATAGCTCGTGCCCTGACCCTCGATAACAGGGTGTGCAGGTTCTCCCTGGTGCTTTCTGACTGCCCAGGAGACATTTCAAAGCTTCTGGAGATTTTGGCTCGGGAAGAAGCAAGGTAAATCAGACTAATAGTAGGGAAATATAATTGCAATAGTGCAAAGATTATTAAAGATTTGGACATGTTTCCCAATGTTCTCTGAAGGCAAGTCTGTAAGTAACTAATTAATCAAAGGGTTTTTTTCTTCTTATGTTTCAGAAAAACTTTATTTCTTTCATTTTTGTTCCAAAATGAAAGCACCTTTGCAGCTTAGAATAAGCGTGTGATACAGAAAGCAGCAAAGGGAGCTACTGTCCAAACTACTTTACAGGGACAAAGGATTGTTGTGATCTCTAATTTATCCCTTATTTGATCTAGAGTTTTGGATATCAAACAAGAACGTACATTTGTGACATCGGAGCTCTTCACTGTCGAGGTAAGATGAGATGCAATTTGAGTTTCTCTGGCGGTACTGACCTCCCTTAGCTGGTTCTCTTTTCCTGTATCTCTGTGTGACTGTTGAAGTCCAACAGAGTGAGCACAGTGAATCACGCAGCAGTGTGATAATTTCTTCTGTGTTACACAGCATCTTGCTTCACCAAACACTTGACAGGCATATAAATAATACAGGACCTGTTTTACCTGCTGTTGTGACACCGTGGGTGAAATACTCCAGCTGTTACTATTGCAAACCTTCCTTACGTGCGTGGCGGTGTGCCGGAGGTGGTGAGCAACCTGCAGCATCCGTCCAGAACCTGAAGAGCCAGCTGTGTAAGCTGGCTGTAATTATCTGAGATCAACTTGCCTTAAAGCAATGTGGAGAACACCCTTACTCTTAAGGAATCCTCATTTTTAACTAGGGCCTCAGTTTTCTACCTTATCCACAAAGAGCACAGAGCAAAATCATTATTCCTTTGTTGAGTATTTGGTGCGGTGACAGTGAGGAGGTGTCCTCAGTTAATGGCACCTCAAAAGGATCATTTGTCTCGGGGCATGTATCTTATTTCAACTGGTTTGGCAAAGGTGTGGTTCCACTGATTTCATGCTACTGCTGTCTGAGTCCAACCTGACTTTGTGAAATCACAGATGGAAGTCAAATTAGAGATCTTTGCTGAACAGGCTCATAACTAGAATTCGGTAATGCTATTGAGTAAGAAAGTTCTTCCATTTTGGCATTTAAATCTAATTTCCCACCTGGATACAAAAACCTGTTCGGTATTTTCACTTGCGGATATAAAGAATAGGTTAGATTAAAGATGACTTTAGCAAAGGACTACAGTGAAGTTCACGAAAGCATTTGGAACATGATATTATCAGTTTTCTCAAGTGTCTAGAACTAAAATTACATTGTTCCACAGCGTGTGGTAAAGATAGGCCAGCTGTGACTGTTCTGGGTAACTCGAAGATAACATGACACTGATTATCACGGGGCAGACAAACGCCTCAGAGGCAGTGACTAACTTAGCTCTGAAAATCTTTTTTACCAAAGTCAAGATTTGAGAAACCCTGTAACTCTTCTAAAGTTTTCAATGTGATTTTTATGAAGTAAGGCTCGTGATTTTTATTAATGCTACTAAATCAATTAAACAAAATCTGCTGTCTTAGTTTTTGATTGAGAATGTTGGAATAATTTTCCATTGCTCTTGCAACCTTGTCCAATGAGGCACTTTTATCAGAATCTGTAGTAAATACAGTCTCTGAATGAAGAAGTGCCACGTGCTATTGTCTGCACTTTAAACACATTGGATTTTCACTGACTGTCCACTTGAAGAATCTGACACTGTTGCACTACAAGAGGATTGAAGGGAGGAATTTGCATCCGGGAATAATTTAATTGGGTGTTGGATTTGCATGATGGCTTTTAATGTGACTAACTTAGCTCTGAAAATCTTTTTTACCGAAGTCAAGATTTGAGAAACCCTGTAACTCTTCTAAAGTTTTCAATGTGATTTTTATGAAGTAAGGCTCGTGATTTTTATTAATGCTACTAAATCAATTAAACAAAATCTGCTGTCTTAGTTTTTGATTGAGAATGTTGGAATAATTTTCCATTGCTCTTGCAACCTTGTCCAATGAGGCACTTTTATCAGAATCTGTAGTAAATACAGTCTCTGAATGAAGAAGTGCCACGTGCTATTGTCTGCACTTTAAACACATTGGATTTTCACTGACTGTCCACTTGAAGAATCTGACACTGTTGCACTACAAGAGGATTGAAGGGAGGAATTTGCATCCGTGAATAATTTAATTGGATGTTGGATTTGCATGATGGCTTTTAATCAGCATGGGGGAGGCTATGGGATAATTAGATGTTAAGTACAAAGCAGTGATCCAGTTTTATAGACCTCAGTGACTTTGGAGGCAGCTCTATCTGGTGACACCTGTTGAATTGTGAAGCTTTGCTTTGAAAACTTAAACAAGGTTAATCAAAAAGGGTAGAATATGGAATTTATCTTCAAGCATCAAAATGAATTTGCTCTAACCAGATGCAGAAAAATTTACATATTTTCATAGTAAAGCTAATACGTGCGGGGGAAGTTTTGCTTTTTTTTCTTTGTTGCTTGTAAGGGCTATCTGTAGTAAATACAGTCTCTGAATGAAGAAGTGCCACGTGCTATTGTCTGCACTTTAAACACATTGGATTTTCACTGACTGTCCACTTGAAGAATCTGACACTGTTGCACTACAAGAGGATTGAAGGGAGGAATTTGCATCCGGGAATAATTTAATTGGGTGTTGGATTTGCATGATGGCTTTTAATCAGCGTGGGGGAGGCTATGGGATAATTAGATGTGAAGTACAAAGCAGTGATCCAGGTTTATAGACCTCAGTGACTTTGGAGACAGCTCTATCTGGTGACACCTGTTGAATTGTGAAGCTTTTCTTTGAAAACTTAAACAAGGTTAATCAAAAAGGGTAGAATATGGAATTTATCTTCATGTTGGATTTGCATGATGGCTTTTAATCAGCGTGGGGGAGGCTATGGGATAATTAGATGTGAAGTACAAAGCAGTGATCCAGGTTTATAGACCTCAGTGACTTTGGAGACAGCTCTATCTGGTGACACCTGTTGAATTGTGAAGCTTTTCTTTGAAAACTTAAACAAGGTTAATCAAAAAGGGTAGAATATGGAATTTATCTTCAAGCATCAAAATGAATTTGCTCTAACCAGACGCAGAAAAATTTACGTATTTTCATAGTAAAGCTAATACGCGTGGCAGAAGTTTTGCTTTTTTCTTTGTTGCTTGTAAGGGCCAAAGCCCTGTGTCAGCAAAGCATTTTAAGCATTTGCTACTACAGCAGATCTGCAAAGAACTTTGTATCATTTTCATCAGGGTAAATCACAGCACATTAAATTGAGCATGCTTTTAAACTTGGATCAAGAATAAAAATTATTGTATCCCACCTCTTTGGGCAACCTGTGCCAGGGTTTAACCACTATCTAGTTTAAATCTTCCCCCTTTTAGGTTAAAAATCAAGGGACCTTTGAAGGTCATCTAGTCCAACTCTCCTGCAAGGAATCACAGTTTGGGTTGGAAGGGACCTTTGAGGGTCATCTAGTCCAACTCTCCTGCAGGGATCAGGGACATCTTCCACTAGATCAGGTTGCTCAGAGCCCTGTCCAACCTTGACCTTGAACGTTTCCAGGGATGGGGCACCTACCACCTCTCTGGGCAACCTTTGCCAGGGTTTAACCACTATCTAGTCTAAATCTTCCCCCTTTTAGGTTACCCCTTGTCCTGTTACAACAGACCCTGCTAAAAAGTTTGTCCCCATCTTTCCTGTAGGTCATCTTAAAGTACGGAAAAATCTTCCCCCTTTTAGGTTACCCCTTGTCCTGTTACAACAGACCCTGCTAAAAAGTTTGTCCCCATCTTTCCTGTAGGTCGTCTTAAAATACGGAAAGTAAGGTCTCCTTGGAGCCTTTTCTTCTCCAGGATGAACAACCCCAACTCTCTCAATAGTAAGAAAGCCCTTACAGCTATACCCATTCCACTCTTACACATATTTTCAACTGTGGATCTAGATGAAGTGTTTGACAGAGCAGAGCAGTGAGTGAAGTGGCTAATTTGAAACACTAAATCAGTCCTGTCAAGATTGTCATCTTAGTATTTAATCATCCTTTCATATTTGCCCTTTCATTTTTAAAGGAGGGAAACTTGGCTTCTAGTCACTGCTTATCAGGAAGATAGAGGATTTTGTTGTTCTTTTTTTCCCTCGCGTGAAATGTTTTGCTGGGTTAGTGTTTGTTCATCTGGTTGCATGCTTGGAACGCTCCATGGGAAGATCCTTGCTGATAGTTTGATTGCGTGGAGTAGTAAGGACTTTATAAAAGGAAGCCTTATGTTCAAATTACAGTTCTGGAAAAACAACTTTTAGAACATTTTACTGGCAAAAATAAGAGATCTTTTTTAGTTAAAAAAAAAAAAAAAAAAGAATTATGGAGGCATTTTTTATCTTCTCTTTTGGCTGCTGATAAGAAATCACAGTTATCAAATTTTATGACCAAAAAAAAGAAATCTTTTTTAGTTAAAAAAAAAAAAAAAAAAGGATTATGGCTACATTGGGTTCAACTGGTTCTTAATGAAGTGCCTGGTGCAGCTGGTAACATTCTTTGGAACAACATGGGAGTCTCTTTTGGACACTGCCTGCTCACACCTCCTGCTTAGATTCTCTTTCCTTGTGGCTCGTACCGCATTTCTGTCTTGCAGAGGACTACACCCTAATTCACTCTTACCTGAGCACTTAGGAAATGGCTTCCAAAGTCCCACTATTGAAATAGATAACTCTTAGCAAATCATACAAATAACTACACTGGTAGGCTTCAGATTTTACAGCTGCTGAAGCTGGCTAGATGACCAGGAATATCCAGTCAGAAATAAAGATCAGAGCTAAGGAAAAAAAATCATCGAATATCACCTGCTAACTGGATATAGAGATCTAAAGGATTACCTGGTTTGTGAGAGGAAGCTACAACTTGCTTCTGTGAACTTTCCCTACCCTTTATCAGTAATATTCCTCGGATTCAATGTGGAACAATTTATCACTTCAATTGCTTCCATCTATAAACCTCTTTATAACCATTTAAATCCCTTTAATTTCATATTATTAGTACATATTTTGTATTATTACTACTCAGAGAGAAGGCGATGAGCAAAATCAATAAGCAACTTAATAAGGAAAGCACTATGTTTGCTGTGAAGCCATGGAGGCTCTGCTATGGAGCAGCCGCTTGTCTGCTCTGTGGTGCCTCATATTTGGACTGAGGCATCTCAGCTGAAAAAAAAAATACCTTTGAGCTCATCAAGTTTCTGAGAAAATTTCAAGAAAAGTCTTCTCCTCACCACTTGAACTCCAGCATAATCAGACTGGAACAGGGTCCTAGAACAGAGCAGCCAGGGCCTGCAGGGTCTTGAGGTGCTCCAGCAGCTTGGCAGAGAAGCAGCTACGGTGGCAGTTTCCCCTCTGACCTCAGTCCTGTTTGAAGTTATGGGGTTGTCTGGTCTGTTCTCTTCACACCTCTTGGGAGCTTAACTCTGCTGTGGTTTTAAATAACTCGGAGGACAGCAGTTGTGAAAAGAACATCCATGGCATTACTTCTCTCTCTGACTGTACAACAAAATACTAATTCGTAAATCAATTGTTGCCTTTTCTTTATGATAAGATGACACGCTGTCCCAGTGGTGCTGGGTTTCTTGGCTTACTCTAGGTGGTACAATACCTGTTTTTTCCATACAGTTATTCACCTCAGGCCATAACTCATGAATTTTTTTTAGTCTGCTCGGGACAATTTGAGTAAATTCCTTTGGGCCAACTTGGGTTTTGTAAAAGGCCAGAGGAGAATATTTCGGATTAGTTGCCAACATATTCCATGTTATTGTCTTGTGAAGGGAATATAGAGGAGCACACAGCTGTCCAGCTATGAGAAGGATGCTATCATTCCTAAAGAATTTCCTGCATGACCCGGGGAAGGCACTGTATCCATGCTTCTGTTCCCCCTCTGCAAAATGGAGATGTTTAGAGTGGGAAGTTCAACAATACATTTCTTCTGAGGCTCTCCAGAATAATTCAGTTGTTTGCTTTAATGCCATTCCCCCTGGTACAGAACAGCCTGCCCCAGTTGTAGAAGTAAGAACCTGACTCCAGGAGGCTGTGAGAAGACCTGTTGGATTATTATCTGCCTTAGGTAATGCAACGGTGACTTGTTTGTGCTCGTGTTCACCGACCTGAATGCAGGAGCGTGCCAAAAGATAAGGGCACGGGTTGCACAACCACGTGACAGCTACGGGAGCTGTTGCCCTCTTTCTCAAGCATTGCATTGCACTGACCTTGGGGACTCTCTGGCAGCTGATGCCCAAACCATAAACTGATGTGCTACTACCAAATACTGTAATGTCCAATAACCTGCACTGGGTGATTACTGAATAATTCAGAAAATTTCCAAGTTGTTGACTTCTTTATAGAAATGAAAAGCGCTGCTTTATTTATAGGACTGAAACCAGTGTACTTAAATAAAGTTTTCATTTCTAACTCCAGTGGTCTTCATGCAAACAAACCTGTAGTGTAGCTGAGCATGGTGTATCTTGAGTACTAAGTTATGTGAATCCTCCAAGACCAAAAGCTTAGAAGGTGAATATAGTTTCTAGGATTAAAAACATGGGATACAAAGGTTCAGTGGATGAGTCAGGGACATGAGGAATTGTACTGCCTGGTTATGATCTGATTTTACATGGAGCCTGGAAAAGCACAAAAGACTGAAAACTTTTGATTGAGCAATGGTACTAATATTTCCTCTGCTCTCTAGCACTGGCTCGGCATGTCCACCCAGTATCTTTATTTGGACACACAACCTACAGGTATCAGACATCAGGGAGCTGAGAGGCATGGCAAATACTTTTTTAATATATAGGAAAATATGATTTAAAAGGCTAAGTGCCCACTTGTGAGGTTAAAGGGGAGCAGAGGTGCCCAAATTTTTCAGCACAGAACTTTGCAAATTTCCTCTTTTTCTGGAGTTAAGAATTTTCTTCTCTGAAATGGAATCAATTCCTATGAATATTTTAATTTATGCATCTGAATTTTGGTGTTGCATAGGGTAATAACTTGTGATCAATTTTTTTGCTTTTTTTCAACTTTTGTCCTGCTTCCTCAATTATTTCTAGTTATTAAACAAAACCCATGAGACATCAATAGTCAGTGAAGACTGTTCTGCCTTCCATTACTTATAGGCATGCTATAAAAAAACCCCTACAGGCTGACTAAATCCTTAGCCAGAACTCTAAATACAGTAAAAGATTCACCTGGCTGGTTATTTTAACAGTCTTACAGGACCAGATAGTTTTTTCATAATTATTACTTTTTGTTCCAGCAATGATATAATATGCAGGAGAGAAATGCATAAGATGTACTCAGTTTTTGTTGGTTTTTGTGGGGTTTTTTGATATATAGAAAAGTAAGGTCTACTGTGCAAACATAGTCCTGCAGTCAATGAGAGCTCTGCTGGATCAAAGCTTGTGTCTAGTACTGAGGGCTTATGGGTTTGAAATAAATTTAAAGTTCTCTCTAGTTGTCGTGGAGTGTAAGAAACATCAGGCAATAGGTTTTGTCATTTGTTCTTAAATACGACCAATTTGGAGTGCTAACTTAGTTCATCAGTAGGTATGCCACCTCCTGTAGGTAGCAGTACTCAGGTGACTGTTCATCCTAGATAGATATAATCCTCATGTACCTGCCCATGAATATGAAGATTGCCCTGTTGGGCACTTGTGTAAATCATAGTTCCCAGGTGGAACAAATAAGAGAGAGGAGTTCTGCGAAGGTAAAATTGCAGTGAAAATGGGATTAATCCAAGCAAGAAAGCAAATCCTTGCCTTGTTGTTTAGATTTGTAGCTACTCTAAGTGTGGACTAATTCTCTGTTCACTCTTGCAGTGAGCAAATGTTTTCTCTTCCTCTATTTGACAAGTGCAACACATCAGGTAAATTTCTGGAGTTGTTTATTGTTTCTGCTGCTGCTGTTATTACTTTTATAATACAGCCCAGCATATTAATGGATAGATCACGTGTTGGATGCTGTGCGTGCACGGAACAAAAAAGACAGCATTTATCCAAACTGTTTACAAGCTCTCTGTCTCCAGTCTATCCGTGTCTATCTGGCTTCAATCATGAGCAGAGAGCAAAGGGCAGAGGAGAGGACAGCCAGCTCTGTAAATCCAAGTGCTTTCCCACACGTGGTCCCGGGGCAGAGCAGCTGCTGCTGCCAAACAGGCAACGCTGAACCTGGCAGGTCCGGGCTGGTCCCAAGTGCAGCAATCCCTTTGCTCAGGACAGAGCAGGCACGACTGCTGTGGAAGGAGGGAAAGGTGGATTTTTTTTTTTTAATTACAGACTCCGTGAGAGAGGAGTGCGTGCTCTTGAAGATACGACTGCAAAGCTTTAGGGATTTCATATGAGCTGGAGGGTGGATAATGGGTGTTCGGTACCCTGGTGCCTAGATATCCTTTAGATACTTTTCCCAATCTTTGTGTTCTCTTCTCTTCCCTCATTATTAATTGCTTTCTGTGGCTGGTCCTCCTCTTGAGACTAAATCCCACTTTTTCAGAGGAATAAAAAATTAGCATCTAATTAGTGTTCCAAAGAACCAAACTAGAGTAGAACTATGTTCAGGATAAGAGGTGAAGAATTACAAAAACTGATCAGAAATGTGGCTGATTTCATGATGCATATCTAAGAAGCTATAGCCAGTTTTCTAATTAAGTGAGCTCATGGCTGTTTAGAATAACCTGCATTTAGTGTTTTATCTTCTCATTCAACAGTTTTGCTAAAGGCTTATTGTTACTTTAAGCTCATTCCAGGAAACTATGAATTCGCATAGCTCATATTTAGAAATATCCTCATAAACATATTTGAGACACTTTTATTTTTTGCCTTGTTGCTTTCTGTAAAGGATGCAGCTCTGGTAGGAACATTTTACAGGGCATGTGTCTCTAGCAGTCCACCTTAAGGTGGTTACCATGACCACTTTTTTCTCTATTCTCTGTAGATTTGCCTGTTACAATGAACGGTCTGTTGTTGCATCATGACTCATCTTGGATCTTTTCCTCGCTAGATTTCCATGTTTCTGTGAGGTCTTTTTTCCACATGGCACTTTCAACATTAGTGATAATTCCAGCAGGGTCAGAGGTGACAGAAATTAGCAGTCTAAAATTGCTCCAGCGTGGGGTCCTCCATGGACTGCAGGTGAATATCTGCTCCACCGTTAACCTCCATGGGCTGCAGGAGGTCCATGCTCTGCTCCATCACCTTGAGCACGTCCTCCCCCTCCTTCTTCACTGACCTGGGTGTCTACAAAGTTGTTTCTCTCACATATTCTCACTCTTCTCTCCAGCTGCAATTGCTGGGTTGTTTTTTTCTTCCCCTTCTTGAATATATTCTTCCCAAAGTGCTACCACAATCACTGATGGCCAGCAGTGAGTCCATCCTGGATCCTGCTGGCATTGGCTCTGTCAGACAGGCAGCTTCTCACAAAAGCCCCCCCTGTAGCCCCCCCCTGCTACCCAAACCTTGCCACGCAAACCCAATTGCAAAGGCTTGAAGGATGGAACAAACGCTGCCCAGAAACACGGGAAATGGGGTGAGGTGGCAGCTGCACCACGTACATACCCCAGGGAATGGAAAAGAGAAGCTGCTAATGGAATGACTTCAGGGAGGCCAACACCAGATGAGTACTTGCCCAGAGCCAGAAAAGGATCAGCCTATCTTCTTCAAACTTTGAAGGCAATAAAGTAGGGCTGTTGGAAGGTTTTTAGACCATGCAGAAGGGTTGGAAGAGTCCCAGATGTCTGCAATGTCAGTTTTACCTGCTTAGATAGGGGATGTGCGGTCCAGAGTTTTTGCATTGAACTGATCATTTTGCTTTTACGAGTGTATTTTAGGATTGAGTTGGCAATGCCTTTGTCTGAGATCGCTGCCATGCCTTCAGGAATGTTCCTAATTCTTTTCCCAGGTCACCTGCACCTTGGAGACCAGAGACAAGATCCACACGGCCCAGCTGAAGAACGCGCTCTTGGAACGCTACCCCACAGCTGCCTGGACCGAGCGGTGATGGGCACAGCACGGGGGCAAGGGCCGAGGTCCTCTGATGAGTATTTTACAGAGCCCTAATCTTGAGGCATTCAGAACAAATATCGTCTTTCAAAGCTGAACAGTTAGCGAATAGTTTCAGGATATTTATTTCCTGCTCAAAATGTAGTGAATGTCCTTGGGAATAAAGTTAAACTCCAAACTTTAGCTTAGCTAAGGGAAACTTCTAGTCTCTGCTGGTGTTGGAATTCAATGATTCATTATCAGCTGGCAGTCTGGATTTTGGCTAGTGTGTAGGATCCGAATGGCATTCAGTTAATAAACGCAAAGAAGGCATGTTTGCTTTACATCTGAATAGAGACCTCTCAAAGGTCTTTTGATTCTGATGCCCTTAGTTAAAGTAATGCAGCTCCTTCTGCTGGAGCTCCATACTGCTAATGTAGTAATTTTTCATTTCCAAGCCAGAAGAAGTTCTCCATTTGCTGAATCTGCTTAGGAGATATATAAACGTGTGTGGGTGTGGGTTTGAACACACTTCTGTTCTGATCTTTGCTATCATGTGAAGAAAAACTATGCTGATAAAATGCAATCTAAAAAAAACACACAAAAAAAAAAACCTTGGAAGATAAAAGCCAATATTGTACTGGCTTTTTTGTTGTTGTTGTTGTTGTTTTTCTCCAAGGGAAAAGGATGCTATTTATAAAGTTCCAAAAGATTTTATGGTAATAAAAAAATCAAACACATGCTGAATGTGATTAGACCTCGTATACAGAACACAAATGTAACTCTTTCCTCAGCATAAAAAGTAGCATATAAAATGGCTTGTGTTTCTTTATAAAAAGGGGTCTCTCTACCCATGTGAATTTTGTAATTAGCATTCCACTGATCATCTTAGTCTGCCTAAAACAGACTCTATCCATCTCACCTGACAGATTAAGTTCACTGTTAAGAGTGAAATATATTTAAAGACCGCATGTTAATAGCCCAAGGCAGTGCTAGGAAAAGAGGAAGCCTAAGTCTTAGGCACATGGCTAATGCAATTAACAAAGAACACATTGACCTAAATACCATTTTCATCACTACAGACAGAGACCAACTAATACAGTAACAGAGTGGGGTGGCAAAAAATAGAAGAGAAATTCAGGCCCACTTCTGAGCGTGTGTACAACAGTCACCTTTCCACATGGGCAAAATTCAATTTAAGGCCACCTGCAACAGAGCCAATATATGCCATTCCACTTGGCCAAATTTAATCAGGCTCAACTCAAATTTTGGGTGTAGGTAGTTTAATGAGAGGTCTTAATCCTGCCTCTAGCATATCAAGTTAATAATTAGTAGGTAAAATAAATATGATGTAGTTAGCAGTGCCCTAGCAGAGCCCAGATGAAAATCCAGCAGGATCAGAGCGAGCATCTCCAGAGGCTGCGTGGGATCAAATCATTCCAGTTCCCACATGCAGAGCTGGGTGCGGTGTTGCTTCGTGTCCATGAAAACCAACTTTTACTATAGTTTTTTGGGGAGAAAGATGCCGCAAGCCCATAGTGATGCTCCTTTGTTGTCATATTATGGTTTATAAATTGAGCTTCCACCTTTAGTCCTCCCCTGCAGTAAGGCATGTGCTTGCTGGTACATTTCCTTTCCTGGCTCTGCAGTGGGAAACTTTTGTCTCTAAAGCACAATCAACAAGTCTCATGTGGAAGAGGAGATGTCCTGAGGCAGACAAAAGCTTTCCCTGCTCCCTCTTAACTCTAGTCCATCTGCAGGCTGGGAAGGGCATCATCCAGAGAGTTAGAGCAACCTAAACAGAAGGTCCCCATGGACTGAAAATAATGAACTGCATATCAAATCTTAGACAGATCTCATCTGTATTGTATCTACTACTTATGGCTATCCAGCTATATCTATAACTTAACTTGTGCCTGAAAGGTGGGACAAAGAGGGCAGCGTTCTGTCTGTCTCTGCAGTATTTTTTTTTTTACAAATCATCTGCTCCTTTTTACTGTGGCTCATGAAGGAGCAGGACTAGAGAAGAGACTCTCACGGATGGTGGACAAATAACAGAAGTTCATTAATTTGGTCTGTTTTTTGGAGGACCATGTTGGTTTGCACACAGAAGGAAAAACTGTTGATGTCCTAATGGTTAGTTTCTTTCCCTTCTTGTCATCCACTGGATGGACACTGGGCTTGGTCTCCAGAACATGTCCTGTAAATCACAGTCTGTCAGACACAAGTCCTTTCTTCACAGTCAGAAGAGTTTAAGAAATCTGTCTAGAAATACGTGATGACAGACTACATATTGTGTATGTGTTACTTCCATTGAAACAAGCGATGAACCACATCATCAAAGAGCAGATCTGGAGACACAAAACCACTATAAATAAGGGTCTAATTATCCCCTCATATTTCTTGGCAAAAGTCTCAGAAGAAAATGGGACTCTATAACCAAAGTTCTCAGTAGTGACCAACAGCTTCTGCTGTCCGAGTCCTTGGTTTATCACTTTGCATTATCCTGGACTTTATTTTTCTGGAAGCTCAGAGCATTAACAACTTCTTTCCTAATCAGTGGTTAGCGATTCTCCACAAAACTGGGGCAAGAGAGGTAGCAAATAGAGCAACCAAAAATCAATGCACTCAAATTCACTGTATGATTTTTGAAAATGTGTTTTAAGGGAAAAAAGTAAAAAAAAAAAGGAAAGTGTTATCTAGAAGTTACTTAAAATATCAAACATGGTTTTATTTTTATTTTGTTAAGTATAAACATAAGTTGTAAATCACTCTTCAGTGGTAAGCACTTTACATGTGAAAATAATGATACCAGAGTTGATTTCCATTCTATATTGCTTTTGTGCAAGTCCATTGGCTTTAAAAACAGGATGAAATACTTCCAAGGGAAAAGAAAAAATCAAAATTCAACATTTAAATGAATGTATGTATTTGGAAAGAATACTGAAAAATCTGTGCTGCTAACTTTTTTGCGTTATGAAATATAATGGGACTGCGGCATTTCAAAGATCTAATAATGTGTTTTTAAATGTTTCATTTAAAAATGTATTTTTATATAGAGTGTTCTCACATACCTTGAAAAAAATAACTGATTATGTAAAAATTTCACAAATTCTTAAATCAGCAAAATGTAAATCTAAGCACTGTATTTATCTGAAAAATAATTAAAATTATGCTATGCCACCTCAGCAATGAAAGATTTGTCATTCTCTCACGTGGTACTGATAGTAGCCTTGCATTTAAAAATTCAGAGTTCATTTTTTGCCCTTTCTCTGTCATTGACATGGACACGAAATCCACCTCATTCGTGCCCACCGAGCTCTGGGCTGCCCCGGGGAGGTGAGCGTGGTTGGGCAGGACCTGCTGCTCCTGCCTGGGGAGTGGGACAGGAGCCTGCCCCACCACTCCCCAGCGTGGCAGGGTAAGCAGCTCGCCTTCCTGGCTTGGAAAGAGACTCTGTTTCCCGTACTGGGCCAGGTGGGAACACCACCTTGCTTGTACCTGGCTGTGTTCCTGGGCACTGTGTAGAGTCTGGGTGCAGAGGTATCCTTGGCTGGGTTTGTGTGGGTCAATTAGGTCGATGATATCTGGTGAATCGGATCTCAGAGATGCTCATCACAAATATTGTGAACTTTGGCAAACCAGTCCTTCAATTTCAGGGTGCAGCAGACTCCACCACGTTCGTGTCTCCAGTGGAAGAGGAAGTTTTGACCCCAGTAATTCCACTGGAGCTAAGCTGCTTAGCTCTGGGAGCAGTCCTGTGAATCCAAGGTTTGTCAGGGACACAGCACAACTTCTTCCAAGGACTGATGCAAACAAGGCATATCTTTAATGGAAACAAAACCTCTTTCCACATTGATTCTTTAATTTCTTCAGCCAGGTGTTGTTTGATCTGGATTAACATCTGAAGCTCTGCCAGTATGTGTTGGTGTAGCATCGGGAGTTCATCTCCCCATGCAGGTGGCATGTCCTCACAAGTAGCACCTTGCCATCTAGCCTTTTGCAGGATTTAGAAACGTGTGTTCCTCCTCATCCCAAAGTGCAGTGAGTGCGTTTGACATGTTGTGTCAAACTTTTGCTAGATCCAGACCTGGCCTTGTGGTTTAGACATGGGAGAAAGAAACTGTAAGACTCCAGCATTGAGCTGTAATGAGCTCTAATTCCTGCCAGTTATTTATTTGATAGCCTTGGCTCTCCTGTCACCTTCTTTGCTGTGTATTTAACTCTAAGCAGGCTGCCATGTATAGGATATTGAAGTTTGCAAAGTTTCTTTCTGTTACAAACCTTTGCTTTCGTGGATTCCCAACTTTTTGCTATATCCCAATGGAGGGGGGAAATCCTGCTGAATGTTGTACCTTCCTGCGCTGGTGAATTTCCCATTGTTCAAAAGCACTTTATTTATTTATTTATTTGTTTGTTTTTTAAAAAGCCATAGCACAAATTAGTGGCTGTAGTTGGAAAAAATCGTAATAAAACATGAATTTTTGGAAGCAATGCAATAACGTTCATACAGAACAATGGGATCTCTAAGGCCATATGTCTTATCTTTCTGAAGAAAAGAAAGAGACCTCAACAACTTCTAAGAAAGAAATTAAGTGTCCCTAAGGGTCAGAGCCAGATCAGCCACAGCTGTGTGCATGCAGAGAAAGGATATGAGGGGCTTCCCCTGCCCCTAGGAGAAGGTTGGTGAAGGGGATTCAGCTGTGGTGTTGTCTGAAAGCTCTTCTAAATGCAGGTACTCTTATTTGCCTTTTGTTTGTTGGTTTTTGGAGGGGTTTTTTGCATTTATGTACTTGTAAATCTTTCTGCACTTGTGAAATTTGTGGAGAAGGGTGTTGTTTGCGTGTGGCTTTTCTTTCGATAAGGATTCTAGAGTGTCTTTAAAAGGATATTTTAACTTGTGTGGTTTCTAAACTCGGTAAATTGGTCTCCCTTTGTGTTCCCTCAACCTTTAGGGGCACCTAAGAGGTTTTTCTTTGAAAGAAGGGTCTGGAAGAATGCTGGTAAATGAGATAATGGTGTTTCCTCACACTTCTCTTTACTCCTGTCCCCTCCATCTTCCCAGTCACACGTGTGCAGCAGTTCTGTTTGGAGTGGCAGGGACCTGTGTAGGGTGCAGCACAGTCCATGTAGGGTGTCGCACAGTCCATGGATCGTGCTCCTGCTCCTCTGAAGAGTGATAGTAAAGGAAATGCTGAGGGACCTTCTGTTTCTTGTGCTTTCCCCAAACCGTGACAATTTCTTGAGCTGTTCACGCAGACTTTGCATGCAGGCACCAGTCCCAATAAACGTAGAATAAACTGAACGTATAGGTTGTTGGCCATGTGCCAAATGTGTTAATTGAGTCCTCAAATGAATGGAGTCATTAAAAAAGACCTCCAGAAATATCTCTTTATTTTGTATTTGGAGATCACCTGCTGGAGGCAGGGGAATAAAAATGTACAGGCTTGTAACTAACAAGCTAAAATGCAAAGGTTTTTTGGTTTTGTTTTTTTTTTTTTTGACTGTGTATGGTTGTAAACAGTAAAGTGAGAGTGACAGCCTCATTACTGAGGGCTCACATACAGAGGGAACATATAATTCAGATTCTCTCATTCCTGGAGATGTTACTGCGTTAGTTACTTTTGTCTTTGCAATGGCCATTTGCCTGGAAACCTTAAACTCAATGAGAGATCAGTCACTTTCCATAACGTGTTTCTCTAAAATCTACTGTATTTCTGTGGAAGGTCTGCAATTTCTGCCACCCCACCCCAGATACCGTGCCAGGATGCCCACAAACAGCAGACTGTAGGACTTCAAAGACCTTGCTTATAGTGGTCAAACTTACTGCAGACTCTACTGCAATGGTCAGTGAGGACATTCCCCCAGCTTTAGCTGGGTTCTATAGCCATTCACAAGCACAGCTGCCCACCCCCAGGGCAAATTAAACATCCTTAATGAACCTGCACTTGGGTATTTCCAAAGGCTGGCCCGGTTGACTCTTGTTATGTTGAGAAAAATCTAGGACAGAATGAAAGGCAAAGGGAGACAAGGCAAATTGTGATTCTGAGAAGGGTTTTTTCATCACTCCCTTGCAAAAATGAGCTACAGCCCTTGGGGCTTTAGAAAGCGTTCCTGGGAATGGAGGGGAGACCTCCCGTGGCCCCTCCTTCAGGCTCAGCAAAGTTCCTGAGCTGATGCTGCATTTCCCAACCCAGCTTCTCATGGACACAGCTCTTTGAGCAGCGACGTGCCAAACATGCTCATCTGGGGGTGACTCGCCTTTAAGAAGTATATTACGCTCATTTCCATATATTATGATTTAAAGGTGAAAATGGATCTGTGTAGTTTCTTTGTGCTTTCTCCTGCAACAAATTTATTGAGTAATCCCAGCATAAAAGCAATGTTTTAAGCGATGTGATTATTTGCACCTTGTACGGAGATTTCTTTTGATCACCAATGCAGGTCAAATAAATGCTGCTTTATTTTGGTATATACAGAAAAAAAACAGGCACTGTTGTGCTATTTTTTTTTCAGCATTGACTTGATATCATTAGCATAAAGCATACCCTGTTCTGCACAGGGTGCAAGGCTGGGTTTTTTTTTCTCATGGCTTCAGTTTGAAACGGATGGTGAAACAACTTTCATTTCTCCTCAGCGCTGTCAGCAGCCTGCTCGGCAGAAATGTCCACCCTAAAAAACCTTTCTTAGCTTTCTTGGTGACTTACCTTCTTACGCAGTGGGGTTTTAATAGTAAGAGCCCTTCTGTAAGTGTCATTTGGTTTTCCTTTTGGTGGGAAGTAGCATTTTGAAATTTTTTTATTTTTTTTTTTCAGTGAAGTACTAACGTTTGCAAGTGTTTTCTTTCCGGGTGGGTTGAGTGTTGATGTGGAGATGGTTGGATGCTCAGCCTGGCCTGTGAGCTGCTGTAGGAGCACAAGGGCTCACTTCTGCTGCTTTCCCCTTTTGCTGTGGAAGGGGTATTTTGATTGCAGTGGGAAGAATTGCCCTACACGATTAAGAGTAATCCTTTCTTAGGGTAGCCTGGAGAAACGCTTACGCTGGTGTAACCAGCGCCGTTTCCAAAGAGCCCGTTACCAGCCATGAATTTGTGTCTCTCCCCGGGCTTAGCGAGTTGCTGCCTTGGATTCGTGCTTCGGGGGGTGTTTTTAAACTAGTAACTTTGACGTATTACGGCGTGTTTATCCTGCTGCCTGCAGTGCTAGGGACACTATAAACAAATATTCAGAAACACTATCTCAAAATTATTTTGAACCTTTTGAACCCCATTCTATGGGTTTCTTTTCCTTACAGCTATTTTACATTCATAGCTGGTCAGCATTGCTTATCCCATCCTTCTTGGATGTTGAGTTTGGGATTGCACAGGCTTCAAAAACATTAAAAGACGGGCACCGGTGCTTCTTGCAGCTCTGGGACAGAGGTTGAGCGTAAATACTTGTTAAAAAAAAATAATAAAAAAAGTATATATAGGTGGAAAAACTGAACTACTGTCAGTTCTACACTTCTTTTGTATCTTCCTTGGGCTGCACTGAGGAAGCTGGTACCATCACCTCTCTGAAAGGCAGCTCTTCTAATAGACTCTAACAGCAAGCTGTCAGCTTCCCAGAGCTGTGATTTACCTGCAGCCATTGCAGAGCCCTCACAGAAGGGCTGTGCTGGTGAGCAACACAACTGCTTGTGTGCAGACTGGCAGTGGGAAGGGAAGCAAGAGTTCTAGTCCTGACCTTTTTTACAGCTTCACTGATGGAAAGTGAATGGGAAATAAGAACTGGGAAAAAAATGTGTACTAAGAAGTCTTTTACTGCCTCTCCTAAAGGCTTAACTAGCCTTGGTGGTTCCGTTACACTAGACTTCCGTGGGACTTATTCTGAAACAAATACAGCCAGCTGATCCTGTATGTTCCAAGTGTGAATACTGGTATCAGTGTAAAGATGATACCTATATATTTTGTATAGACATCTACATCCGGGATAAATTAAAAAGAAAGAAAATCAACTTCACTGATTTTAATTCTTTATTCCAGGGTCACAGACTAAGATAAAAGGTTACACAGTAAAACACAGCTCAGGCTCTTGACACTTCTGTTGGATTTCTAGCCACTAAACATGAGTTTCTACTTCTCCACAAAATGTTATCAGTTTGTCATTTAAAAAAAAAGAATAAAACCATCATTTCAAACCCTTCAGTTCTCCATGGTTTTAGTACCAACTGAAAAGCAAAAACTTTATCTACCTGTGTCTGGATAAGACTTCTCCATCAGAAGTGTTACAGTCTGTAGGTACTGCAGGAGGCAGAAGTTTATTTGTTACTGCCTTGTGGAGTTCTTCGTTTCTTCCAGAACAGTAGCACCAAAGGTGGTGTGGTAAAACCTGCCCCCACACTACAGCTAGTATTTTAAATAGTTATTTTTTTTAACAGTGCTAAAACAAGACAGGCTAAATTCTTGTTCAAATATGCAAAAGTAAAAGACAGTATGATAAAAGGCTCACTACACATACAGGCAGTACTCTGACGGGTGCTTAAGATGGTCTCTCAAACATAGATTCAGGATATCAGCATCTGGGGACCAGTGGTGTACATTTAATCACTATTCCTAATTTCATTCACAAATATAACGTTTTCAGCTAGGTTTTGGAATGCTAATTGATATTTTTTTCTTGGATAATAAATTACTTCTTGAAAAAGCTGCCCTCAAAGCTACAGGGTTACTACTTTATGCTATACTAACTCAAAGATTAAAATCTTCATTCAAAAGATGAGGTCATGCTGCATGAAATTTAAGGCACACGTATTAAACCAAGTTAAAGTGCTTTACATATCTAAGCTCATCAGTGCACCTCAACCTGACCTGAGACTTGGTCTTTTTAATGTGCCTGCAGCAATAAAGTGGTCTGTCCTTTGTGGAAGAAAGTAAGCTGACAAAACAAAGTACAAAGACCAGGCTCTAACAACAAGCAGCCAGTAAAATGTTAAAAGTTAAATTCCATCACAAAACAGGTGCAAGTTGCCTTGTGGCTGTAACTCTCCCTGTTGAAGAAAATTCCTTCCCATGAAAATGTAACCTATCAACCACTACCACCAGCTTTTCAATGACAATCAGAGTATGGAGTCTATGTCAAAAACTGGCTTCTTGCATAAGAAATGGGATTAAACTCTGGCAGTGCCAAGACTGAAGAGCTGAATTTCTATTGCACTATTCACAGGGCCCTGTGAATTACAATTCTTTTGTTTAGAAAGAGGAGAGTTACTTGGGTAGAAGGGCGCTGCATCACACAGCTGGAATGTAATTTAGCTAATTATAGCACCTAGATATGTAAGTGAGGGTATTTTCTGAAAAATGAGGATGAAGAATGTGAGAAGTGGCTTTGCTTCTTTCGCTGTCTTCTAGTACTGCTTCCTGGCTGATGGTTTGTAAGACACCAGAAGACCAAAGGAAGCATATCCAAATAAAAGTGTCTGAATGAACCAGTGGAACTGAACAGCCGGGTCAGTGATTCCTTTAGATCTGTAACATAAGCAAAAATACAAAATGTGTCAAAAAAATATATGGTCTTGCAGACTCTATTGTGATACTTACAAAGTAAGGTCAGATATTTCTACCCATTCTTGGTACGTGACTAGAACATTTGATCTTAGCATCGGTAATTCCGATCTACTGACACTTATTTTCTGTATTGAACTAAACATCACAGTTCTTGCGATTTTAAGCTATTTGTGGGACAAAGGCTGTTTCAGAGATTTCATGCGTACAATATCCTCATTAATATATAAATTGCAATCTCAGTCTATGCTATTTGAAATGACTTATCCTACAAGTTTAGGTACAAAGAACCAAGAAATTAGAGTAGCTTAATACTAATCTTAATATGCAACTATGTATGTAAGTGCTTGTTGACTACAGTCACTGAAGGTAGACCAAATGCTATAGCAGGGCAAAATGGCCTGATATTTACTCTGTGATGCAAGAGAAGAGCGCTGTTACCTGAATTTGTGGCTAAAAAAATACAGTTGTAAGGGGCTAAGAACACCTGACTATAAAACACAGACCTCCCTGTGGTAGTTAATATTAACGTAGCATATGTGAATTTTCCTGTGTATTACAGAAAATACCACTCTTTTCCTCCACTTCATTGCTGGAAAATACTACAGAATTTTCAGAGAAATGAATGAGTATGAACATGATAGCAAAACCAATTGATTTTACATTTCCAGTAAACAATTATGTCAAACGTAAATGTGCTCTAACTCATTAGTTTACAAGGGAGCTCCCCCTACTGACCTTCGCTAGAGCAGTTTAGCTGTTAATTTTCTATATCCTCTACACGTACAAAAGATTGTGTAGCAAGTGTTAACACAACATTTCTTAAAGTTCATTCTTAAATTGTCTTACCAGCTGTGAGAAAAATTTTTTATAACCCCAGCTGCAGTGTTTCCTGGAAACTAGGGCTTAAGAAATTTACCTGCTTACATAAAGCAAGCTTATATGAAGAGAACACATACAGAAGTACAGGCCAACAGCTAATAACAGTACTACTATTGATTAACAAATTTGTATCTGTTTCCTCACTAGTTCCTCCTCATGCCTCCTTTGTGATATTTGTAAGTAGACACCATTTTATATCAGTAAAAAGTAGATGGTGTTTGGTGCTCATAGTAAAGTACCACTGTCTAGTAATCTACAGAACTATGCCTGAAGAGATGCTGGGCAGGCAATCTGTGCTCTCTTTCTTATGGACTTTAACACTGTTCTGTAAAACTTCATCACTTAACTTGATTACAACATACACATTCGGTTCATTCACTGGTAATCAAGTTCTCTCGTACTTAAAAATCACCTTAAGCCTATACACCTATCTATCTGCAGAATCAGATCAGTTTTAACTTTAAAGCCACATAATGTAAAACTGAAGCCTGGTAAAAAATTTATTACTGACTCCCACTCAAGGCAGAAAATGTTCACCCATATTCTATTATCTCAAGAACCACCTTAAATAGCTTTCCATGGAACAAAATCCCTTTGCCTCCAAGAGATGCTACTTGAGAAGCCTTTGAGACAGCTTTGAACCAAACTAAATGAAGTGGAAGACCACCATTTTTACGATGGCAAACAGACTGGCCATCTATGCTGTGGAGCGTGAGAACCAGTATCTACATTATTCTGAATTATTACAAACAAAATTCAAATGAACAGTAGGACTATGTGTTTGGACAGCATACCTTTCCAAACAATTTGTTATCCTAACTTAAGACTTAGTTGACATTACTCTTATAGCGTGATTAGTCAAAGTATTTTATCCCACACACCTGCAGACATAAGTAGATCTTAAACAATTCCAAACTGAAGCGTCCAATTGTGTTCTCACAATATAGATACAATCATTTAAGCGGGTAATTAGCCATACTGAAGTTGTGATGAGGTAAGATCTGATGAAGCCTGAACACCTGAAGTTATCAGACTGTTTCTACACTGTCTATTGTTCCCTCTGCTTCCTGAAGTGCAATGTTACCCAGTGAAGAGTGAGTTCAGAGGCAGATGGACAGACAAGCTCTGGCAAACCTTGCTGCTCCCAGTTCTGCCAGTTGCCATCCCTTGATTTGTCACCCTGCACAACAGTAACCACCAGCAGAATCTGCAGTAACCTCTTGTGGAGGACAGCAAATTATCACTGCAGCAAGAATTTTTGCAGTATCCTCTGAACTAATATTGCTGAGAACCACCCAAATCAGTCTGTAGCTTATGTCACTTGTATCACAAATCATTTTCAGAAATCGGTGTTGGGGTGGAGGAGGGAACAACTTACTGGCATAACTTAACACTGTAGAAGGCTTCTACCACGTGAATCAACCAGGATACCCAGAACCTAAGAAAAAGAAAACATGTTTTATTTTGTTGAAAACTAGGGAGAAGACTGTTGTATCTGAGATGTGTTATGTAGAGAACGTAAAATTGGAAGCACAGGAGTGACATCTGACTTTAACACAGAAAGTGAGGTGTGCTTCTTATCTTAGGGAAAAAAAAAACCCAAAACAACAGAAAAAGTGCAAGTGTAGTCTTAAAAGAAACTAAAATCCATTAAGACAGAGGAACTGTAGCTCATGCAATATGCCTGGTCCTGCCATCTCAAATATCCACTGCATGTTTCCAGAGCTTTCAGCTCTTAGATTAAGCCAAAAAGCCAACTGCTTAGTGAAAGCAGTACAAGTTAATCTTAGTTAAGCCGGCAAAATCTATCCTTTTGCTTACACAAGTATTTTTAGTGGTCCTAACGAGTTACTGAAGTTTTTATAAATTTAGTTTGACAAATGCAATTGTGTGTACAGATTCAGGATATGTTATATTACTTGATTAGTCAAACTTAGTCTAAAAATTTTCATATAGAAGCTTTTTATTAAAAAAAAAGTTACATAGGATATTCAGTCAGGATCAATTCACTACCTTCCTAAAGCAAAAGACAGTCTGATGAAGGCTTATATTCGACATGATGCATTGTGAAATAAATGAGAACTCTTGTTAATTAAAATAACAAAAACTATACTGTGTAACCCAGCAAAACTTAGCACTATGCAGTTTTTTCAGCAGGCTATTTCTCACGTGGTCAGGGTCAGGATAAGTTAGTAGCAGGGTAAAAAATGTTCTTTAATTGAAGCTGGAAAAAGAAGACTCCTAAAGAGAACTGGACTACTTAAGTAATAATTTGACAAAAGAACCACTTCTTAGGAAGTGTTACAAATCTAAGTTTACATATAGACTGATAAGGGTCTTCAAAAGTAGTATCTTAATTTTCCTCCTTTCTAACATCACAGATGTCAAATTCAAAATTGAATTTTTAAACTTTCATACTAGTCTTAGCCTGTCTAGTTTTCTACATACTTATTACCCCACACCCTTAGTTGTAATAAGCTTGAAAGGAGAGCCCTTTAAATGTAATTAACTACTGGGTTACAGGAAAGCTTGTTAACACAGACTAAGCAGAAGAGTCAGAGAGAGGCAACAGGAGAGATGCAATATAATTATACAAATGTAACTTACCCATAGCATACCCATTTGTGGTGGTTTTTCACTAAATAATTAAGGAAGGTACCAAATATTCCCAAATAATTATAAGGTATAGTTGAAGGGAAAAGCGTTACCCACTTAAAAGGAGAAAAAAAAAAAAAAAGAAAAAAAATTAGTTAGCTTAGTTCAAGGTAGAATTGTTATCAACATAACCTTTGAATTAGGTTTATTTTCACTCTCCCCGTCCCTCCCCCACCCCGCATCTGTCAAGCATGGTTTAGGGCTCATCTATACACAGTATTTCAACTCTTTCATTCCATTAATGTTGTCTAAGACCCATACTCTCCAACAAGACCACCAGCCTTCTAAAGCATGCTTACTTAAGAAGATTCAAACCCATGAAACTTCTTTTCCTTGACATACAAGATACCAAGGTGATAAGGTTGCCATCTGTGTACCAAGAATGTACCCGCACATCAAGTGGCATTTAAATTGTAAGCTAATTACCTACTACACACGGGAGCAGCAAAAAATACATTGTCTCTGTCCTGAACAATCTGATGCAACTGACCTGAAGAACTCGAACAATGACTAGACTGAGAAGGGGGAATAACTACTCCTCTATAACTAGGGGCACAGTCTCTTGTCTTTTGTCCCTTAAAAAAGAAAATTTTGTCTAGATCTTATTGTCTTTTGAACAGGGCACAGAAGATTGAGCACAAAGCCCAAGACTGATGATGAACGCAACGTGCCAGTGTCTTTCCTGTCACCGAAGTTGCCACAGTGCCTATTGCTGTCTGCCTTTATTTTAACAAGCCGTGGAGGAGCAGCGGGGAGAGGTGACTTGGGCATCTCAGAGTCCATTGGGGACACAAGGTAAACACTGAGCTGGGCCAAAGCTCACGTCAGCTTATCTTTCCCCTGCTACCCAATGCTGCAGTTTCTAGCTACATGTAAATTTGGTTATGCTAAGCATGTAGCATGATGGTGGATTTAACCAGGGAATCTGCTTAAAGCTCATTCTGGTTCTTGAAACAGGCCAAAAAGCTGCTTTGTGAGTTGTTTGGCCCGCCTGGACCATCACTTTTTCAGTGGTGGCTCTTGCGTGGAGACAATCCAGGCAAACAGAAGAAAAACTACAACGCGGAAAAGTCAATGGGTGACCTTCGCAAACTCGTCTGATTTATCAAAACTGTCACTAATCTCCGCACCCCGGTAACCTGACCTATTTTAGCTGAAGTCCATTTTTAGAAATTTAAGACAACACAGGGACCAGGCTCGTCTGTTTTCCGACGATGCTACCGGTGAATATCCGTAGCTGTGCCATGCTGGTTGCTATGACCCACAGCTGCCCCAGAGAGAGTTTTACTGATGTTCCCATTCTGGGCCTGCGGAGGGAGGCAGATCCACAGCCTTGCCTCGCTTTGCAATCCAATACAAGTATTTTGCTATTATTTTTTCCCTCAGAACCTCCTTCAGGGATGTGCCGGGCCCCCTCACAGTGAGGAGCCCAGCCCGCAGCCGTGCTCCCAGTTTCCCCCCTCCCAGGTGTATTTCAGAACGCGGCCCGGTATTTCGCCACAGAAATACGGCAAAAATGGGTTTCCCTGGGTCGCAGCACAACCCGCGGGGGTCCCCGTGGCCTCCGCCGGTTTCCCGGTTCGGGCGGCAAGGAGCCGCCGCAGGCCCGCACCCCCTGGGCCGGGTCCGTCCCGTCCCCGCTCCCCTCCCGCCGCTCCTTACGCCCAGGACGATCATGCCGAAGGTGATGGCGATCATCCAGATGAGCCGGGAGCGCTGGAAGTGGCAGCTGCCATCGCGCACCCGCTCCGTGCCCGTCGCCGTCGTCATCTCGCCGCTGCCGCCGCTCTGCCGGCCCGGCCCCGCCGCCGCCGCTGCTAAGGCCGCCGCGGGGGGGGCGGAGCCGGTGACTCGGCGGGGCGGGGGATGTGAGAGTGTGTCTGTGTATGTGTGTGTGTGCGTGCCCCGGGGGTGGCCGCCACCTGCGGGGTCACCCGTCACTTCCTTCCGGTGAGCCCCGGGCGGGCCGCCGCTCCCCGCCGCGGTATGCGGCCTGCGGGCTGTGGGGGAGCAGGGCCCCGCGTCCAGGGGAGAGGCCGGGAAGATGGTTGGAGGGCTGGGGCACCTCTGCTGTAGAGACAGGCCGAGAGGGTCGGGGGTGTTCCGTCTGGAGAGGAGAAGGCCCCAAGAGAGACCTATAGCCCCTTCCAGCGCCTGAAGGGGGCCTGCAGGAGAGATGGGGAGGAGGGACTTCTTAGAAGGGCAGGTAGCGATGGGCCTGGAGAATAAATCATAGAATCATAGAATGGTTAGGGTTGGAAGGGACCTCAAAGATCATCTAGTTCCAACGCCCCTGCCATGGGCAGGGACACCTCCCACTAGAGCAGGTTGCTCAAGGCCCCATCCAGCCTGGCCTTGAACACTTCCAGGGATGGGGCAGCCACAACTTCCCTGGGCAACCTGTTCCAGTGCCTCACCACCCTCATAGTAAAAAATTTCCTCCCTATTCCTAATCTAAATCTTTTTTCTTCCAATTTAAAACCATTTCCCCTTGTCCTATCATTACCCTTCCTGGCAAAGAGTCCCTCCCCAGCTCTTCTATAGGCACCCTTCAGATATTGAAAGGCCGCTATAAGGTCTCCCCAGAGCCTCCTCTTCTCCAGGCTGAACAATCCCAGCTCCCTCAGCCTGTCTTCATAGGAGAGGTGCTCCATCCTTATTCTTACAGCGGTTGAAGGAGCTGGGACTTTAGTTTGAGGAAGAGGAGGCTGAGGGGAGCCCTCATCACTCTCTACACATACTTAAAAGGACGTTGTGGAGAAGTTGGTGCTGGTCTCTTCTAGGTAATCAGTGACAGAACAAGAGGGAGTGGCTTCTAGCTGCAACAGGGTAGGTTTAGACTGGACATTGGGGAAAAATTCTTCACAGAAAGAGTGGTCAGACCACTGTGGACCAGGCCACCCAGGGAGGTGGTTGAGTCACCATCCCTGAATGTGTTTAAGAGTCGTTTAGATGTGGTGTTGGGGGATATGGTGTAGGGGAGAACTCTGTAGAGTAGTGTGGATGGTTGGACTCGATGATCCCAAGGGTCTTTTCCAACCTGAATGATTCTGAATGATAGGACAAGGGGTAATGGCTTCAAACTGGAAGAGAGGAGATTTCAGATTAGGTATGGGGAAGAAATTTTTCACTGTGAGGGTGGTGAGACACTGGAACATGTTGCACAGAGAGGTGGATGCTCCATTCCTGGAATTGTTCAAGGACAGGCTGGATGGGGCTTTGAGCAACCTGGTCTGGTGGGAGGTGGCCCTGTCCATGATGGGAGCTGGAACTAAATGATCTTTAAGGTCCTTTCCAACCCAAACTGCTCTATGATTCTATCATTTAAAGAGCTCTAGTGGATGCAAGCAGACCAGGAGACACATACAATGCTAGTGCAGGTGACCATTTTGCTCCTCGCCTTCAATACTAAGGATGAAAAAAGGAGGGTCTTGTACTTCAGAGCTCATACACACTTCCCTTCATTTCACACTGAAGCTATCACAGTCTTTGGGAGGACAGGGAATCCAAAGGGCCAAGGAGCCCTGGGAAGGCTTCCTGAAGGTCTGAAAAGCTCAGTCAGGTTTTGACACTTGGAGGTCCGAGGCCCAAGCCTACACACATCATGCCCTTAGTTGATACTCAAGACAAAACTAAGAGAGGCACTAGAAAGGTCTAAGTTAATTTCTCCTGTGTTGATGAGATTTAACTGGTTATAAAGCACATTGAGATCCATGTTTTATATTAAATCAATTATTTGAACTACTCTTGGTAAAAAATTCTTATAATACGCAGTGCTATGTTATATATGTGTACATATGAGACACTCCTAGAACACTACATAATACCTTACCTTTTGGAAACTATGGATTTAAAGCATATTAAATCCAGCATTTTGTACTTTATGCCATATTGGGACTTTGGACTCGGTGATGAGCTTGTCCAAAGAAGTCCCTAGGGCCTTGGGGAAGGTGCCCAGAGATGGAAATGTTGAGGGGAGGTGTCTCATGTTTTCCTTAGAGCTTTGCTACCTGCTTGCTTACCAGTGACTTTGACAGGGTAGGGGATAAACAGTGGGACATGTTGACTCTGCTGTTTTCTCTCCTTGCCTGCAGGCTAAATACAGCTGCTCTTTTAACTATGTGTTAATGATGTGCCTGTAAAGCTGTTCTCTTCAACAACTAATGCAGCAAGTCTTGACCTATTCCCAGCACGAGCACTGTGTGGCAGAGAAGGGTCGCTACAGAGGAGACTGGCTTTGCCTGTGGTTGGGTTAGTTTTGTTCTGTCCTGAGACTGTTCCTTTTCCCTATCCTGTACTTCATTCCCAGCTATTCCTTCCCACAGCACTGTGCTTTTTTGCTGAGGTGTTGAGTGGAGGTTGCAGGAGAGTTTGGTAACAAACTCCTGCAGTGGTTAAACTGTTGCTGGGAGGCCATCTATAAAAACCATTGGGGTTGACGACATGGAATTCCACCTGCATGATACAGTCGCCCGGGTTGCTTTGTTGATGCAGGGGAGGAGTGTGTGTGGCTCCGCCTTCAACGTCTTGGAATCTGGGAGAAATTTCTAAAATTCAACCTATTTTTTGTAGCCCATTACTTAATTTCTTCCTCTATAGGACATTCTATGCAAATTGTTTCTGCCTGGCTATAAACCCATGTCCAAATGTTGTGCTGAGATCCCGAGCTGGCCCGAGCTTTGCGACAGAAGTGCCTAGGACTGCCCCACGCGAGGAGCTCTGCCCACACACCAAGAAGAACTTGTAAGGGCACAATTAAAACAGATTTATTAGATGGTAAACAAAACGCAACCGATTTACAGGGATGGCTGTGCTGCTGCAGGGAGTTGACTGGAGAGGGCAGTCAAGTACACAGGAAAGAACCGGGATGTGACTGGAACGGGTCACCCAGAGAGGTGGTAGATGGCCCATCCCTGGAAGCATTCAAGGTCAGGCTGGACAGGGATCTGATCAACCTGATGTAGTTGAAGGTGTCCTTGCACATTGCAGGGGGGGATTGGACTAGATGACCTTTAAAGGTCCCTTCCAACCCAAACTATTCTATGATTCTATGACATTCACTTTGTTTTACTGGCTTTGGTGGCCAAAAGCAGCCAGGTGAGGTCCGAGACGATGTCATGTTGTCTGTTCTGTCACACTCCAGTGAAGACTGCCCACACTGTGTCACCTCAGGCAGAGGAGGGGTAGCTGGCTTACTCTTCTTTCTCTTTCACCAACAATAATTGATTTATATTTTTATTAGCATTAAGTATTCTTTCTGGCCTGTATAGCCTGTGGCCACAAAACCAGCTAGCCCAGCATGCGGTTCACCAGAAGGAGCCAGGCTTCATGTGTGACAGCAGCCCCCACCCGCTGCCAGCCTTGTTGACACAGGTAGAGGGACACCAGCCCTGGGCATGTCCACAGCCTCGGACAATAGTTAATGAAGACAACTCCTTCCTCAGACCTTTTGTGGGGGTGGACTTTCAGCAGGTCCATTTCTAATCCAGGGCAGTGTCTATGACCTGACTGTTAAAAAAAGCCTGTTTCTCTTGACAAAGAGAGGTGTCTCTGGAGCATTTAAGAAGCTGAATATAGTTCCAGTTTTCATAATTTAAAGCCAGAATTCCTGTAGCAGCATCTTGTCTGGGTAGCACAGGACAGGCCATTAAGTAGTACCTTGTTTCTCTGAACTGAGCTCAGTAACTTGCACTTACTTAAAGCATACTTTTCAAGGAGCATTTTATCTTTGAAGATGTCAAAAGACAGAGAATCCACTGCTTTCAGTGATTAGTCTTTCTTGTATGTTTCTTAGGTGGTATTAGTATGTACCTAACAACCAATTTTGAGGGAGTAGTTTTCAGAGTTCAGCTGAAAAGCTTGCTCTATCGTATTTTGCAAAATGTTTGCATTTATGCCTCCATATTTTGGATCAATAGGTTAGCTTCCAGTGGTTTCAACACTGGAAATGTTATTTGTCAGAGAATTGCATTTATTGACAAGTAAGATCTAAATTAGAAACTAGAAATCCCAAACACTGTTATGTGAAATATTGAAAAAATGCAGAACCCATTTACTTTGCCAAGTTTACAGGAAATAAAACTGTTTCTGCGTGCTTTACTTCACCATAACTTGTGACATTTCTACTACTTTTTTTTCCTTTCCTTTTCTCTTAATCATTTAATCGGTGTCACAAAGTGACCGAATGAAGACTTAGCACGCTGTTATGAGCTGGGGGCTCTCAGAAGCATAACATTCACTTTGTTTTACTGGCTTTGGTGGCCAAAAGCAGCCAGGTGAGGTCCGAGACGATGTCATGTTGTCTGTTCTGTCACACTCCAGTGAAGACTGCCCACACTGTGTCACCTGAGGCAGAGGAGGGGTGGCTGACTTCTTTCTCTTTCACCAACAATAATTGGTTTACGTTTTTATTAGCATTAAGTATTCTTTCTGGCCTGTATAGCCTGTGGTCACAAAACCAGCTAGCCCAGCATGCAGTCCACCAGAAGGAGCCAGGCTTCACCCACTGCCAGCCTTGTTGACACAGGTAGAATGACACCAGCCCTGGGCATGTCCACAGCCTCGGACAATAGTTAATGAAGACAACTCCTTCCTCAGACCTTTTGTTGGGGTGGACTTTCAGCAGGTCCATTTCTAATCCAGGGCAGTGTCTATGACCTGACTGTTAAAAAAAGCCTGTTTCTCTTGACAAAGAGAGGTGTCTCTGGAGCATTTAAGAAGCTGAATATAGTTCCAGTTTTCATAATTTAAAGCCAGAATTCCTGTAGCAGCATCTTGTCTGGGTAGCACAGGACAGGCCATTAAGTAGTACCTTGTTTCTCTGAACTGAGCTCAGTAACTTGCACTTACTTAAAGCATACTTTTCAAGGAGCATTTTATCTTTGAAGATGTCAAAAGACAGAGAATCCAC